GACCAAAGAGTAAACAAGTGTTTTAGACAATGTGTTAAAAAATGTCCTTTCCGATACAAAGCATCCAAATTGCCTATATATCTATTTATACTGATATAATCTCTTCAATTAATTGTTAATTTAACTTTGAAATACATGAACTTTGGGAAAATATGCAATGGAAGTTCTAGTAGATCCAAAGAAAAGATGCCGTCTCGCAAAAATGAATTTTTTTGTTGAGGATATATATAGAAATTTAAAAAGTTGCCATTGAAGAAATGTTTTTCTAATATTTTTATGTCATATGCATGATGCTTTTACAGTAATTTGCTCATGTCAAGTGAAATATACAGCATTAAAGACAGAATTTTCTCTATTTATAACATTGGCAATGTAAAGGTACTTTGTTTCGGAATGGACAATTTTTAACAAGCTTCTCAAAAAAGGCCACAGTTAAATGGGTTTCTGTGCACTAGGGATTTCTTATATAAAAATAAATATCACATGTCCTGGGCTTTAGAGAAATATATATTGTAACAGGCTAGGTGTCAACATGTTCTTTTTATGTAAGAGAAACCCAATGTTTCGGAATGGACAAATTTAACGGAAAAATACGGTAGGGTTATTTTGCACTCCATGTCAAGCTCCAGAATCATCGCGCAGATTTCATTATTTGATACAAACAATACCAATACATCCAAATAATAATTAGGATGGTTAATTATACTGTATGTTTTATGATATATTTTCTGAAAGTAATTTATTTTTGTTTCGGAATGGACATTTCGTTTAACGGAAATACCAGCATGCCATTAAAAGACTTTTTTCTAGGATACACCTCTCTCCTGTTAATATTTAAACTTTTTTGCTTCCACCATACTACTGAGTGTTTTATAATCCAAAAAAAATGCAATGTCAAACACTGTTTTAATTTATTTCAGATTGCTTTTTATTTCATATGACTAAAATGGGAAAAATTTTTTGTCATTTTTCGGGCTTTGCTTTAGCATAACTTTGGACTCGGTGGTGATATTTGGTTTCTATTTTCAGTGTTTATCTTCACTTACACCATTCTCTAACATAGTGATAAAAGAATTCTTTGATCATATGTATGTAATTTGTTAATTAGCAATATGTGGGAAAATCTGAAAAGTGCCCAGGATTGTAAAAATGCCCATATTTAGGTTGGGGCCTTACTAGACCTCGGCTCTTCTCAATGTGAATGCTTCCTTAACTAAGGTATCCCAAGTTGACTTTAAATACAACCAGACTGTTGAACTGCCTGGTCTCCAAGGAGAGTATATTGTTTCATTCATTGTGGAAAGAAGTTACTGTTTCCATGGCAAATGACATGGTGAATCTCTTGTTGCATGAACACTTCACTTATGCTTGGCATTTCAAAAGTGTGCAGAAAACACAGAAATCAATACACTTGAGAAATTAAAAGTTCATTATATGGCAAAATATACAATAATGGGGATTTATATATATATAATCTCAGTGGTGATACAGTTATAGAAACAAGAGACTCATTAAGTTTCTGTAGATTTCAGAAATGATATTAAGAGTATTTAGTAATGCTATCCTTATTTTAGCTTTAGACTTTCTTAGATGTTTAGTTCCACTCTTGGTTTGTAGTTTCTCAAGTACATATGGGCATTAAAAATTTTAAGCAATAAAGTTATTACTGGTGCTTAAAACATTAAGACTTTATTTGGCTTAAGCCTTTGAATGTGTAATAGCAGGTTATTTTAAGGAGAGCAGTGGGTAAAGAACTTAAAAGAGTTTTGACATTCATTTTATATACCAACTGTAAGCTGAAGCAAAGAGACAAACTTAGATAAGCAATTAAAACAAGTGTTTGTGTATGCATGATGATCTTTGCTGGGATCTGGAATGGCCATCTTTAACTGTACATGTCGTATTGTTGAGCTGTGATAAGGCAGACCTTTTTTTAGTCATTGATGTATTAAAGCAGTAATTGGACCAAAAATGTGTTCCCGTGTATTCTTGATAGTGCATTTTTGTTCTACTGGTATCCATAATACATGTAATTTCAGGCATGCTTCTGATAAGTATTTTAATGGTGTGAAAGGGAAGACAATTTTCATATTTGAAATATTCATTTACTTTTGCTGGCTTGTTTTGTTCACATGTTTCTTGTTGTCCTATATGATATATCCACTTTGTTTTTGATTTTCAGTTAAAGCATAACCCCAAATCACTGACATCAAAAAGGCTAAAGAGAGCAGCAGGGCTTGCCGACATAGATCTATTTAAACAGGAATTGAAGCCTTTTCTGAAAGTCAGAGTATCAGGCACACCTGCAAATGTTGAAGTTCAAGAAGTAAGCTATTTATTTGATTTTTATTTCTGTGTGTTTTCCAGTATTTTTTGATGTGGTAGTATTTTATGATTATAGATATTTGTGTTTCTAAGCTCATACCTATTAACTATACTGTTTGTCTGATAATTTTTTTTGCAACAAAATTTTTTCATGGAAATAAGTTCCCAGACTGTTGACTTAACAAAAGGAAGATAATATCTTATAGCTTTCTTTAAAATATTTGGTTTACAATATGCCACTCCTTTTTAGTATCTCTAGTATCTAAGTGTAGGCATGGCTGAATTAAATCCACCTAACTTACCACATTTTTGCTATATTCAGATCTTGAGAGCCTCTCATTCAAACTACATATATTGATAAGAAAACAAAAGTGGATTTCCTTACTTTGTGTACACACTCGTATTAACTCGAGATAATTACGAACATATACACAGACTTCCAGTACTTTTAAGTTATTTATGAGTCCATTGTATGTGTAGGAAAGAGATGTCTTTAGTTAAGAAGCAGTTCTATTTGAAAAAGGATTATTTAGAGGGATGAGGAAAAGAAAAAAACTACTTTCCTTCACAAAGTTAATCTGGTTGTTTTGAAATTATAATAAAAACAAAGCATATTCTCATAATAGACTGTTTAATTTTATTTCATTAAATTTTGTGATGTTTTTTGATAGCATCATTTGTTCAGCAGTTGTGAGCATAAGAATATTGTAACCCTTTATTATCATCCAGATACTGAAAATTAGTTTTTTCCTGGATATAATTATTCAATAATGCATTTGTCTTTGTACTGATTTACAACAATGAAAAAACCCATTGGAAAAACTATCCATAAATGATAGAATTAACTGCAACTGGCAAATGTTTTAAGGGGTAAAATGAGGCACTGCTAGAGTTATGTGGTTATTTTCCAAAGTGCTGTAATCTCTTAAAATGCTTTAGAAGGTGACAAAAATGTTTCACCCAAAAGATTGGCCTTGTAGTTTGTACCATCAGTGAGACTTATATTTTCCTACAAGTTGAATTTGTCAAGTATTGTAAAAACCCTAATTTGATCACTAGCAAAAAAAAGCAGCGATCTTCTCTCTCAAATTCTAAGGGACCATCTTCAATTACATTTGCATTGTAGTCACGTAATTTTCTCGCATCTTTACATATAATTTACCAACACACAGGGATAATTAAAAAGCAATGGGGAATTGGTACATACAGCTCTGTTCAGGATATCACTTAGACGGCTATTTGATACAGGGGGAAGACCAGTTAAATATCCAATAAAGGTTTATTAAGAGAAATGTATAGGGAAGACTGGACTGCCAGTTTTGGCTTGAATTAAGTTTAGAAAGAGTGATAATATCAAAGTCTTGCAAAAGTTTGAAGCTTTTATTATTATTTTAAAATATTGATGAGAATATAGATGTTTTCTTTTATGTTTACCAGCACATCAAGTCTCGTATGTCTGACCTTGGATGGCAGGTGGAAGAAGATTCTTTTGTGGACACAACGCCATACGAAGACAAAAACTTCAACAACATTATTGCAACATACAATCCCCAAGCCAGGCGGAGACTTGTATTAGCATGTCATTTTGATTCAAAGTATTTTCCAAAAGCACACTTTATTGCCGCAACTGACTCAGCTGTGCCCTGTGCAATGATGATACATTTGGCTGATTCACTGAAGGAACTGCTAAAAAAAGGCAGTGGGGATGGTGTGAGTGTTTCCCATCAGTATCATTTCTGTATATCAGTCCTGACACATTTAGTTTTATCTTATATTGTTTTTGCACATCAGTAAATGTAATCATGATAATTAATTGCTTTTTAAGTCTGTACAAGGTTACTTTGTTGTTCAACCCACCCAAGAGTATCAAGAGTATTTGTGGCCAACAGCTAATTAATTGATCTTTTTTCATTAGATCAAAGGATTATCAAAAGCTTTTTTTGTCGTTGTTCAGATCTGTGTTGATCATTTTTTAAAACTGAATCAGTATTCTTCTACTGTCAAGGTTAATGTACTTTAAAACATTTGTTCCACCTTTCAGGCAAAAGATATATCATTGCAGCTTATATTTTTTGATGGCGAAGAAGCTTTTAAACATTGGACCAGCACAGACTCGATTTATGGTGCTAGGCACTTAGCTGCCAAGTTAGAAAACACCAAATTCCCTGCAGAATCCTCAGACAATTTCAACACAAATGAATTGCACAGGATGGTAGGTATAATTTACAACATAATCTGTAGATTCAAATGATCTGTTAAATGTTACTTAAGGTGTGAGTTTTTCCAAAAGCAATAATTGTTACTAGTACCTCATTTGGGTATTTCTCTAGGTTGGCATTCTTTTTTTTTTTTTTTTTTTTTTTTTTTTTTCAATCAGCAATTGTGAGTCATTTGTTTAAAAATATTAGATTCATTTTGAATTCTGTTGTGGTCATCATTCTCTCTTCAGCTGATTTCCTCTCTTATCCTCCCTAATTTTATTTACTAGCATAACTACATCTAAACATATGCACCCAAGAGCCATCACAATTCCTGGCAGGGGTTGGGGTATTTCATCGTTGAATTTAGATGTGTTGTTTTCTGTTGCAAATATCAGTGTGTTAAATCTGCCTTGATAAACCACTGACTGTACATGCAACAGTCTTGTGACATAAATAATTCAAACCGATCAACCTACATAATGTCTTGAATGTCATGCCAATCTGATATAGCCAATTATCCAAACATTTTCTGTTCTGGTAAAGGTCTTTTTTGACGTGTTTTCTTGGGTTTCATTCAACGTTTTTATAGAGTGTCTAAATAAGAAAAATTGAAAATATTTTTTCTAGAAGATATGTAAGATAAAGGGGTTATATACTGAATATATCTAATCTTCAAATAATGTATTTATGCTGATTGTTTTAATGTTAAATCCCTGGTGTGAGGGTGATAATATAACATCATGTTTTGTTTTCCAGAGATCTGCATATTATCTATTCAGTTGACAGACTAACTGCCACATATATTTATTTCTCCCTTTAAATATCCTTCACATCAATTTGAACAGAAAACCGGAAGATATTAGAAAAAAAAAACAAAATTCTCCTCAATAGCCTATTTATGTAAGAGGGTTCCATTACCATGGAGTTTACAGGCTCTCAATGGATGGCAGTATAAGTTAGAATGCCACTGATTGATGAAGATTTTTTGTCAAATAATTAGTCATTCACTAGACAATAAGTCTTGATTGAAAACTGCTAGGCCTGTCATTTATCATACTTGTACTCTGAAATTACTCTAAGGGACCATTCCCAGACCCTATGATACTAACTACGGTTTGATCTATCTATGAGGGGATTCTTGCTAAATTGCAATCAACTTAAGCAGCTTTGATGTCTGTTACGCCTACTGAAGCTGCTAGGGGGTAAATTATTTAGCAGATTCAGTAGGCGTGCCAGACTTTTAAACCGCTTAAGCTGAAAGCAATTTAGCGAGAAACCCCTCTTAGATGGATCCATCTTGTTAGATCGATCTAGGTATGGGAACCAAGTCTAAATAGTATTTATTTCTGGAGAGTAGTATGCAGTACAGTACTGAAGTAGATAATAATCATATATTGAGAGGCTGATATCCCAGCCTATCTTAGTGCTAAGTCATTTTCCTTTTCTGAATCTGATACCTAGCACCACTTGTTACTTTTAGTTTACCTTTATATATATATATATTGCAATTATAGGAGCCCTATACAACATTTTACACAAAAAAATGTATACTGTCAGGCTATGTAAGCCTTCCTAGTTAGACATCTCACATCTTTCTCTACCAATATCAACATGTTGCATGCATGAGTTTTGATGAGCTGTGATCATCTAGTATCAGGTATTGTTTGCCAGCCATGCATGTAGCCTGGTCGGGACTAATTGGATCCTAATGTCGCTGGTTCTAATCCGATTTCTCTTGAGGGTCCCCCTGGGTTTTGCACATAGTGATTCACTTATTTAAATGGCTGGCTTAATGTCAGCAATAGTGTCTACTCTAATAGATCTTTTGTTTGATGATGGAGCCAAGAGCATCATGCTTTGAATGAAGTTTTATTGTGGCAAATATGGAGCAAAACTGTTAAAGAATGCAGACATGCTGAAACTGTCGGTCCGATCGGTCATGACCGGGAAAACTTGTCTGGACCAGTAAAAAATTGGACTTGGTCGGTCCAAAGGACCGACAAGAGTTTTAAGAGCTGCAGTTTTGAATTTACAGTCATCATTCGACATGCGTGACTCATAAAATTATATAAAACCCAAAGCGTTTATCCCTACCATTTTAAACCTAGCACATTCACAAACAAAGTAAGCTACCCTAATCGTACTGGTAGTATCTGTCTCAAACAAATAGAGTGATTTTTGGTCCGACAAAAATCCATTCGGTCCGGCAAATTTTTCATTACTGCCGGTCCAAATGTCAGGCCATTCTGAAAAGTTTTCAGCATGTCTGGAATGGGGTATATATGTGATATATAAAAAAATTAACTGCAAATATCCACATCTTCAGCAACTACATAGCATGTACTCAGTAACCCCTTAAAATATTGAGAACACAATCTTCAAAGCATTGCCATTCATTGTGTTTTTATCACAGTTCATTTATGTCAAGTTTGTGCTTATTTCACATGAAATATATCAGTATAAAATAAATTTTGTTTTTAGGATGTGATGGTACTGTTGGACCTGATAGGAGCCGCAAATCCAAAATTTCACAGTTGGTTCCAGAACACACAAAAATTATTTGAAAGGTTAAGTAGAATAGGTAAGTATGAAGACTTCTATAACAACAAAGAATAGAAAACAATGGAGTTTTTGTTTACCTATTAAGTGTGACTTGTAGATGTCTGCAGTTTCTCTTTAACACTCCCAGGCTCTGGAAATTGGACATGGCATTCTTGAAGATAAGAGCCATAGTAATAAGACTGACTACATGTGTTAATCAATGGAAGCAGTGCACAGGGTCATCATTTAGGTATCATTTTCATTATTTCTAGAGAATCACTGACTACAGGAAATTGAGATTTGCTTTTTATTGATTAATCATACCAATGGTTTATATCAGAGGTAATCTAGACACCTGATGTTTATTAACCTAAGACATAATTGAAATTTCTCTCTGAACTATGCAGTTAGCAAGGCAAAGGCATGGAGAGAAATAATTGGATGTCTGATGATAGGCCTTCAATGACTTCCTTTTTATCCTTTGAAAAGACTGTAGGATGGTGTGGCTGTAGCCCACATAGATTGGATTCTATGAATCGCTCTAAATGTTCACTAGAACTTGAAAGGCTTGGCATTTGTTTGTTCTTGTATATTATATGGCTGAATTTTTGTTGAGAGAAGGTAAGTTTTGAATAGATTTCTTGAAGNTTTAGGGGAGTCAGATTTTCATGGTACACCGGTCTAAATGTCCAGCCATTTTGAAAAGTTTTCAACATGTCCGGAATGGGGTATATATGTGATATATAAAAAAATTAACTGCAAATATCCACATCTTCAGCAACTACATAGCATGTACTCAGTAACCCTTAAAATATTAAGAACACAATCTTCAAAGCATTGCCACTCATTGTGTTTTTATCACAGTTCATTTATGTCAAGTTTGTGCTTATTTCACATCAAATATATCAGTATAAAATAAATTTTGTTTTTAGGATGTGATGGTACTGTTGGACCTGATAGGAGCCCCAAATCCAAAATTTCACAGTTGGTTCCAGAACACACAAAAATTATTCGAAAGGTTAAGTAGAATAGGTAAGTATGAAGACTTCAATAACAACAAAGAATAGAAAACAATGGGGTTTTTGTTTACCTATTGAGTGTGACTTGTAGATGTCTGCAGTTTCTCTTTAACACTCCCAGGCTCTGGAAATTGGACATGGCATTCTTGAAGATAAGAGCCATAGTAATAAGACTGACTACGTGTTAATCAATGGAAGCAGTGCACAGGGTCATCATTTAGGTATCATTTTCATTATTTCTAGAGAATCACTGACTACAGGAAATTGAGATTTGCTTTTTATTGATTAATCATACCAATGGTTTATATCAGAGGTAATCTAGACACCTGATGTTTATTAACCTAAGACATAATTGAAATTTCTCTCTGAACTATGCAGTTAGCAAGGCAAAGGCATGGAGAGAAATAATTGGATGTCTGATGATAGGCCTTCAATGACTTCCTTTTTATCCTTTGAAAAGACTAGGATGGTGTGGCTGTAGCCCACATAGATTGGATTCTATGAATCGCTCTAAATGTTCACTAGAACTTGAAAGGCTTGGCATTTGTTTGTTCTTGTATATTATATGGCTGATTTTTTTGTTGAGAGAAGGTAAGTTTTGAATAGATTTCTTGAAATGACACACATTTTTTGTTATTTCAGAGTCCGATTTAATGAAGGAAGGCCAAATCCCTACTCATGACCCTTACTTTTCCAAAACACCTCTCAGTTATAATGCTGGCATAGAGGATGACCACATACCATTTTTAAGAAAGAGTAAGTATAACCAAGGGGACACCAGGGCTTGGCAGCACCCCCCCCCCCCCCCTCCCACCCCCTTACAATGTATACTACTAACAAAGTGATTCCTCATAGGGTAATTGGCTCAGCATTTTGATGGAGACTGATAAATCTGTCTGACATTCCAGTTTCAGGTTCCTACTTTACATCTGTACTGTGTGTAGTGCCTTTAGAGCAGGCACCCAAACAAATTGGACTGTTCCATTGTACTGCCCTCTGCTGTCTTCTGGTTTCTAGGCCCTAGCCCTTAGCTTTCCATATTTTGTGGTCCAAGTTACTGATGACTTCTTATTGGTAAATCATATTTCCTTCGAGGGTCATTAGGACATTGTGTTTTCCATCATTAATCGAAAATTAAGGAAGGGATTGCAATGAAACCAGTGACTCAAAAAGAAATGCATGTTTCTTCTAGACAAAGAGAATTAGTTTATCAAAAATTATTAAGATTATTATTAAGTAACTTTTAAAAGTATAATGTATATATTAAAAAATTTCCCAAAGTCATATCATCTATGTCTACATACCCTGCAAAACCACTAATCTTTTCCAATTCAAACCTTAAAATCTATAAAGACGAGAAACTATGACACATGAATAGACGCTGTTTTGTTGATAGATGATTGAATAGAAGTGCTGATGGCAAATTTTTTCTGAAAAAATATTCCCTAAGAATTTAAGCATTTATTCTTCATTTTAGTGATCAAAGTTAGATAACCCCATCGGGTTCCCTACAATCAATACTTAATATTACAACTTGGATGTAATTACTGAAACAAATTGAAAGAGACAAAATTCTAGGTTTTGGGAATATGTCAAGCTACTAAGTTCATTTCAACTTTCTGTGCACTCTTTTTGTACCTGCTGATTAGCTTTGTAATGTTACATTAATATTGAAGTAATTTTATGTCAAGCAACAATTTTATCATAAAAGTAGTTCTTTAATAATATAATGTAAAATTCAAAGGCACCAAAAAGAAAAATGTTAGTCATATGGGAAATGATATGAGTGGTTTCCCATTACATTCCCATTAAGAAAATTGCCTGATGCACTGGAAATTACCAACAAAGTATTCAACCTGATGCTATTTGGGCTCATGTACAAGTATCATGTTACATTTTGCTCTGCATAGAATTTATCTCCTGAGTACAAGAAGTTTGTTTGTAGTAGTAGCTGTAGTTTCTGCAGAATTGTATAGTTTTACCTCTGTTTTCACACATCTAACAAATTTATGTACAACCCACAGATATGTTACTCTCTGACCATGAGTAGTCTGGTACAAAATTATTGTATCGCATACTCGTACCTTAATTTTGTATACTATTTTAGAAGCCCCTGACACCAGTTGGTGCAGATATTCTACACTGGCAGATAATACCAAGGTTTTCTGTTTCTTCAAATATAGACAGGTTTCCGATGGTCTGTTGACATTGACTGAAAAATATATTTTTGACAAAGTTGTTTTCATCAGATTTTAATGAGGAAGTCTATTGAAAAGGTTAGGCCAATAGCACTGTGCCTAATCACCAATTTAATTGTGTATTTGTGCCCATGAACCTTTATCTTCATTTCTGCTATTTCTTTCAGATGTGCCAATTCTCCATTTGATCTGCTACCCATTTCCTAGTGTGTGGCATAAGCCATCTGATGATGAAAGTGCTCTGGACTACACTACCATTGATAACTTAAATAAAATACTTCAAGTTTTTGTGATACAGTACCTACACTTAAAGCCTTAAAACATGTTTATTAACACTTGCCATTGTATTTAGCTTTAAAGCATTTAGAATGTTGGGAAACTGGTTTTTGTAGGTTTATTTGTCATGATAGAAATGCCATTACCAAGAATGAAGTTTTGCCTGTTGGAATATTGATCTGGTCTTTGAAATGCACTCGCTTAATTAGTGCACACTGGGCATCATAATACGTTACAAGTACCTCGAACGTTTCACAACAAAGGCAAGATGTATAGCCTCTGCTCCTCATTGATTTTTATGTTTTGTGGGTTCATTCATACCCAGCTTCTAACTTCCAAGCAAACATGTCTATTGTGGCATCATAAAGTGTGTGGTTTTCATGGCAACCAAATTAGTTTTGTTAGATCTTGTTGTGTTCAGTCAGATGTCATGTCATTTAGTTCCAAGAATTCAGTTTCCAAGCAGGTTAATTTTTTGTTGAATTGCCGAAATGCCTATAAAGTTAATCAATAGAAATCGCATGTTTCATCTCTGTTTTGATGTAGTTTGACAAATTCTTATATCTTCTTACCTTTTGGTTGCCAAGCACAGGTACAGAAACTCATCTATGCACGTCACAATGAAAAGTGATGACAGGGTATTTTCAGATTTTTAAATGTTTATATATATCTTTAAGACTACAAGCTTAATTGGATGTTTCATTATCATTTTTCTTTCTTTTGATGAGGGACGTACGTGCATAGCAGCCTTATGGTTGTGTTATATGTAGCGCTTAGTTGAAATATGAAATGTTGAAAATAACTCAGTTTTCATGGATTTTAGCAGTTTAAATATTTTTGGTAGGCTATCACGATAAATACTAAGTACATATTGTTAGAGCATGTTTCTGAAACTACGTTTGAAAGAAAAATTTGGTCTCTCAAATTATTGTTGAGGAAATATATGGCCATGTATAGATTTTTTGTTTCTAATTGCCAAATTTCAAAGCAAAAATTCAGGGACCATGAATGTGATTTGCACATAAAAATATTCATGTTTATGTTAGGTATTAGTATCTATGGTTATCGATTTGTAAGTAGAAAATTATCAGGGCGCCAAAAAAATTGTGTATAATTGTTATTGATTTTTAGCAACCAACACCCACAAACGGTCACTTTTAAGATGGAAGTCGGTTGTTATTTATGTATTTATTTATTTAGTTTGTCAAAATAAAGCGAGTTGTTATGTATGAAAACCATCTGACGATGTATGAAATATTTTCAATTGCTATGGATTAGCAGATGCAAAATTACGCACAAATCTCCTCAGTAAAGGTGCGTTTCTAGTGAAGGTAACACGACCTAACTCAACAGACCGCCCGATTACGCTCACCTTGCCACTGGAAGTTCTGGTTTGCCTCTCTGTAGCACGGATACACGCCATCAGCGGCAGGACTTCGCTGTCTCAGTTGAAGAGCACAGTTATAGGAGTTGGCACACCTTTTCTGGAGACATGACAGAAGAATTTCGTGCCAAGCGAAACGGAAAGATTGATGGAGGAAATAATTTTGTTTTGTCATGCAGAGAAAGCATCGAAAACGTTATCAAAATAAGTGAATAGATACCTCGTTCACAACATCTTATTTGCTTGTAAGGATTAGTACCTTGCGGGAAAAACGCCTGTGGGCAAACTTAAGGTTAGGGCTTCATTAGTATCAGCGCTTTAATTTACCATTCTTAATTCGAGTTGATATTTCAGAAGCAATGATTATGAATTTATAGATTTGTGAAAAAAGCGTGGCAATGAAATGCCATTTTAACATGTTTTAACTGAGGCTAAAAGCATTATTGGTTGTTGTAGATTGACAGATGCTGAGCTCATTTCCTTGCTTTTAATAAAACATTTAGTTTTGCAATACAGTGCTTTTTTTATCAATGCAAGTTCAGAAATGTACGATTAAGGATTCACATTTCGGTTGTAATATGGACAAACCTGGTCGCAGTGATATGTTTTAATAATAATGCTTTCAGCGTGTAAATCCATCGATTTATTTCATCAATACGGTTCTGGATTCCTAACTTTTCATATCTTGTTATAATCATTCAGAGCTGATACAAGGTAACGTTCAAAAATCGCTACCATTTTCCAATAAATAACGCTGATCCCAAACCTGAAATTCAACGTGAGTTCTACTTTATCCCAGTTCAAACTTACAAAAACTCATTTGAGCAGTGCTTCGGCTGGTTTGTAACCCCTGCATTTATTTTTTGGAAAATATTCAATTCGGTTTTTTTAATGTGTGATTTAACAAGGACCTCGGGGTTGATTAGAAATTGTTGATTTATCGGTTCTCTAATCTATAATAGGATCCTGACCGCTAGACCACCTAGCAGTTAATTAATAATATCTGATGAAGACCGCCCAGATTGACCGTAAGTTGACATTTAATGTAAAATGGTTTCCTTAAGTCTTAATGACGGTTATTTTGTTTTAGCGAAAGCGATGTTAGATTTAAAAAATGTTGAACATTTTGAATAAAGACAACTACAGATACATCACTAAAGAGTGGCTCTTTGTTTTATGGTTTCTTGAATGCATTTCATATTGACAATATTACCTGAATAGAATGCAAGTAATATAATATATCCTGATTTTACTTGTCAGCAGTTAACATATCAAATTAATTAATTTGTTATAATAGTTTTAAGCCTTGTTTTAATTGTTCCTAAGTTTAAGCAGGAACAACCAAATTTCTTACTGTTCTTGAGATACATTCAACTATTTTGTATGATTATCTCAGAAGATGACAAAAATAATTATTTTTGTTTTTCATTTTTTTATTGTGTAAAGACGTTGACAAACTGTTCAATAACGTGAAGCTGTTTGTAATTTGAAGTCGACACCACGCACGCGATATTTCAGCCTTCCAGAACAAATGCACTGATGTTGATATCCCCACCGTGTACAACTTGAACGTGCCAACTTAATATTCTAACAATTGTTTCCGTGAAGTCTAATGATTAATGTAAAGGACAATGGTGGGCTAAAATGATTATACGTTATTCAGTCCTGTCCTTTGTGTTAGGAAAAGAGCATGGTTTTCCACTTTAAATATTTCGCCCAGCCATCTCAGCAGTAATTTCTGAAAGCTGACCTTACGGGCATTAAATGCTCGTTGGGCGTTAACAAAGGAAAGATTCTAGGCAAGTATCCTTTTATCATCAAGGTATAGCCTTTCCAAAACCGATGAGAAATTGGCGATCTATAAACTTGTTTTGAGTTCTGAATATTTCATTTTTATCGTCACGAGTGAAATTCAAATTTGTATTTCACTTACGGGAGTGCCACAAAAACTAAAAAATTGATTAGGCGCTACTTGAAATCGACGTTTTTGGATCACAATTTCGTGCGCGGTTTTGCCTATGGTTGACCTTGATAGTTACGATAAAAGGGTTGATGCATGTATGTGCAGGGAAATTGAATTATATAACGCTTATGGTATACATTTAAAGACAAAAAGGGTGTCGTTTGTGCATTAAGAAATAAAGCTAATTTTGTGGTTAACCGACGCCGTATCACTAACATGTGACAAGATTATAAACATTGAAACCCCACGTGTGATACAATAAAAATCATCGAAATTTGGGATAAAATTAGAGGCTTAAAATGAAAAGTGTATGGTTTTAAAAACATGCGTTAAGTACATGTACACAAACCACTTCGTGTTGACCTTATCAATTTTTTAGGTAATTTTTTAACACATAAATAACATGAATTAATGTCGAAAAAAAGTTTCCGCCTCCTGACGAACCTCGCAACTCGCCCAATCCTGGTCAGTTGAACATTGTGCAGAATACATATATATTGATTCGAATCTATTATCAAACTCGACTCAAGATTACTCGAAATTAAAAATAATTATCCAAAATTGAATGTCCGTATTTGAATTGCTCATGACTTGTGTTACAGTTACAGGCCAACTCGTTGGAGCTTTTGCAATCTATACATGTCTTGTTGTTGGAAACTGCATAAAATGTCAAAGATAATACATGTATACCAAAGACCAAAATCATATTGACTAGATTCTGAGACGATATGAACATAATACTTGAGATAAAAGTAATTGCGGTAGAGGAGAAAACATAGCGCTATTATGAAATGATATTTTACCTCGTTGAACAGTGCTTGGGAACACATTATGTCGAGAGAAGACCGACGGTGTAAAATATTCAGCCGAATTTTTATCATGAAAAGTGAGAAAGTTACATTGGAAACTTAAATACAAACCTTTCTTCGGTACAACATGATGTATATCGAGAAGTAAATAGAGATAATGAAATTGCAAAGCAGTAAAAATAAGGGATTTAGCAGAAGCAAGTTATAAGTTTAACACATGCAGTGCCAATACTAGGGAATAAAATAGAAAAAAATAGCAATAGTGACACAGACGAAGATAAAACATCTTAGAAACTGGTCCATAAAGGAGACAAATAAACGGGAGGGGGGAAAGTGAGGGGGAAGAGTCAGCGTAGAATATGTGATGGTGTGGGAAGACCAGACCAAACAGCAACAATGAAACCGGTTGGGAATATGAACAACCGCATAAATTACGATCATTCGTGCAGTCTTGATACACCGTAGACAAGACACCAGACGGATGAAAGGACGTAACTTATTAAGCTTTCACATCATACAGTGTTTTGTATCGTAATGGATACTTCTCGCATAGCGTCTGGGGAAATCACCATGCCAATCATGACTACGCCCGGGTACAGAGTTGTTTTTCAGGCACTTTTTTTTTCTTTTAACTTCAGATTTTGAGACGAGTCTAATCTGGTGTATAGTTATGTGTCTGTCTAAATGTCCTCCGTTATTGGGTTTTTGCATATCGCTGAGTGTGGCATACTGTTGTGGAAGCCATGATGAATAATGATTTGTCTGTAGCTTAGGCCTATGCCGTTACATCTAATGACGACATGTTACTGAACTGTGTGTTTGTGCTCGAAAATAATCCTGTAAATGCCATTGGAAACGTCATTGCACATTGCTTAATGTCGCCCTTTTTTAAGACAAACAAAAAATAATAGACCACATCAACAAGATAATATCAAATTCCACGAGACTATAAAATATATTGGTCACGAAAACAGGTAAACATAAATGCAATCGTCATAATGACGAGGGAAAAGACACCGTACACCTTCCGGATCCACTACAGCACGTGGCTCTTCTTCAACGTGTTAAAGCGGGATGCATGAAAGCAACATCTTTAAGAACACGAAATGAAACATCACATAAAAAGGTATCTTCACTGCGGTAGAGACTAATTTATTGAAGTTCTGCAGGCAATTATATATTCATATGCACACAGTACATTATATTATGGCATGCGACAAAAGAATACGTCGAGGATTGAGACTTATAATGTAATATTTCATCCTATAATTATAAAACACCTTTTATGGTACGCTGACAAAGCAGCAAAGGAAATTTTTCGTAATCACGCCCCAACTCAGCGTGCAGATTCCATAACTGATGGATTCAAGAGGAAAAGTATGCCTAAAACCGTTCTTAGCGCGACTCCGTCAGCAGATAAAATGAGGTTTAAAAAAAAGCAACGTAAACTTGATCTGCTTTTGAGAAGTTTTTTTAAAACGCATCTTTTATTACAAAATAATTATCTCATTAACAAAGTACTATTAACATTGGTAATACAAAAATATACTATGTTATGTACATATTTCCAAACTTGATTGGTTTATACTGTACATTCTTACGTGTTCGTGAGAGTGTATATGAATGCGCGCGAGTGTACGTGTATATTTGTGGGCTGAAGCACATTGACTTGTTCAATATTGTGTCTATCTTTGGATATGTTTTCCTGGTTTGTTTATTGCCACCTCTGGATAAATCGTGTTGGCTTTATTTACTTAGGATATTTTGAAATACCACGCACGAGGTGTTTTAAACGGCTAAGTCCCAATAAACTTCAAATGGCAATAAGCCTGTATCTTTACATCAATTTGTGGATTATAAAAACTTGATGAACATAAATTCGAAACCTTTTTTTCATTGATAAATATAAAAACAATGACGAACTCTTTTACTGGAGTTATATCTTTCCGGCTTTCCTTTTCTAATTCTCTTGAAATACTACAGTTTTGTGCATATAATCCCATAAAATGAAATATGATAATGTCCTGCACTTCATATATCAGAGGTCACTTGAAATTATGTAACAATCTTTCTCCATACTAATTTGTGCATGTTTTACTCTTGCAGTCCAAACACAACCACGCACCAACTCCCTTTTATCTAAATTTTGCGGCTCGTGTAGCCCAATGTTTGTTCCTTCATGAACTGAAGTGGGAATTAACCAGAGCGTGTCCAAATTATCACAACTGTTTCTGAGAGGTTCTTGAAGGAAACCAGTCTCGGAAATTGGCTTATGTGAAACTGTGTAATTACGAACACTTGTACGGGATCCCCGAACATTCAGCATCTGAAAATTAAAAAAAAGCACCATAATTGGATCTTGCAAAGTGAAAAAGAGAGGAGTGCAAAGGCAGTGGCGGATTTAGAGGGGGAGTCGGGGGTTCCTGACCCCCCCCCCCCCTTCGATTTCTGGTCTGCTCTTGAAATTAGAATTTTGACTAGCCGAATCATAGTTCTAAACCGTACCAATTAAATGGCACCGTTCGCCCTCCTATGCCCCTATTTCACACAGACCACGAATCCCACGAATCGCCAGAAATTATCAAATTTCGTGAGGATTCGTGAGATTTTGCACATTTTCTGGCCTAATTCGACACGCTCTACGATTCAGTTACGATACAGGTGCGATAGTGTTACGAATATTCGTGGGATTCGGCTGGAATCACACGAATATTGTCAAAAATTCACTACGATTTTTTGGAATCGGGAGTTCGTGGCCAAAATTTTGAACAGCTCAAATTTTTTGCCACGAATTCCCGATTGATCAAGAATTGCAAGAACTGACTACGATTATATACGAATCTGTTAAGAACTTCACAAACTGATTACGATTCAACCACGAATCCTGAAATTTTTCAATTCCTGGCGATTCGTGGGATTCGTGGTCTGTGTGAAATAGGGGCATAAAATACCAAAATTTTTCGTCGCCCTTCAGCGGCCCAAAACCCCACGCCAAGTTATAATAATCCTGGACAGATTCTTTATTGATTAACACCTTCACATACAAGGCAAAATCAATGACAGCACAGGTAACTATAACATAGCACAAACAAATAAATATAGATTATCATAATGTCCATATGGATCCGCCACTGCAATGGCGTCAGTGAGCCTAGTGCTTCACATTTACAGTGTTACATAACTCTTCGTGGCGTCTGTGAGCCTAGTGCTTCGCATTTCCAGTGTTATATAACTCTTCACACACGCTACGCTGAAACCTTACACAAAGCAAGGGCTTCAAACAATCCCCAGTTACAAAACAACATACCTTGGTCTTTTGAAGGAATGCATCAAGCGCCTCACTACTAAAAGGTTCCGAGCTGTCTAGGGTGGGATCTTCCGTAGCGAGAAAGCAGCGGCCTAACTTATCATGCATTCTTGCCAAAGGCTCGGTTTTGATTACTATCAAACCCTGAGAAAAATAGATATATACATATAAATGTAATAATATTCTCCTTTCAAAAATTCATAACCCTTTATCAGTTTTCTATGTACAACTTTTATCTTTCGTGCTTTGCCTTACAGTTATCATGATGAAAATGACAATTGATTTATGTTCCCGTGGACACTACCCTGTTTTTTGGGCTAATTCTATAATTTCACACTTCAGGGATGCCGAGCATATTTTACTACACAATTTAACGTCAGGGCGTCGTGTGTCGAGGGAACCATTTGAGTGAAAAATAATTCTAAAAGCAATGAAATAAAGTAAACACATTCGTCGCCGTGGAGAAGTAACTTACCCGTGAGTAATCATATATGGCTGTAAACTGACCCTCTGAGATGGTGTATTTGACAATTTCGTCAGTAGTGTCGAGATGTATTTGTTCTTCTACTCTTCCTGTTTCCGTCGTGTTTAAATGTAAGGTGTGCACCTGTGTGTGAGTAAGAAAAAAAGTTTCTCCAAAGGCATAAACATCTATACAGGTGCTGTTGTGTATAATGCAGTAGGCGGATGACACATTATAAAATGACTCCCTAGTGACGGGTGAATAATGCAGTATTGTTGTGAATTGTTCCTAGCATTTTTTTAAAGAATACCTGGTGTTTATTTTATCGTGTATAATGTCGGCTTTGCTGTCCTTATTGTAAATTTGTTTTTTGCCCTTTAAAAACCGGCTCTGTTCGAGCGATAAACGCAAACACCTAGTTAATGTCACTTGATACATCATTTACCTAGTATGTGTAAGGAATAGTTCCCATTAATACACAATAACAGGAAAAGAACGCTGCAAATAGTAAATATTTATGTAATAGCTTTTTCTTCCTCATATTTTGATCACTCACTTTCCAAACATTTCCAGTGGTTTGTTTTTCCGATATGATAATGCCAGCAATTACACTGCATAGGCCCGCCAGGATGAGGACGACGATGAGAATGAGGAAAACGACACATTTACCTGTAGATGCACCTTTTGGCTGTACTTCCTGTGAATATTAAGCAAGACAAATCATAAACAAGGAGACACCATGGAGAGAGAGAGAGAAAGAGAATGGAAGAGAAGGAAAGGATGGAAGGAAATTTGCAGGACATCAATATACATTGTCGTTTTGTCACATTGGTGAATACAGGTCATCTGATAAGAAGCTATATTAATGATCATTCAGTAACTGGTACCCTTGATTCGCGGACAGTGAGACGGGAATGGTAGTCCGTTTCCCATTACTTTGTACAGGTGGCATTCGTCCCATATACTAACCCTAATTACTCAACATGTCAAGCTGACCCTTACTTGTACTAATTATATGGGACCCTGGACTTCCAACCCGAGCTAGGACTACCATTCCTGTCACACCGGAGCTAAGCAGACGATTAAAAACATTAAAACCTTACAATGTGTCAGAAACATACATTCTATCAACTTTAATTACAGTATTTAGATACAAATTACAAATAGAAATAAAACTAATTAATTAGATTAATAAATGTTTTTATGTTCTATCAGCCATTGTATGAATTTTAACTGTTCGGTATATATTAGATCCTTGCGCATGTATATATTTTGCATAAATGCCTATGGGTCGTAGTTCATTAGTAGGCCCTATATGTACCAAAGTTCCTTCATCCTTTCAACGAGAAAAAGTTTTTAACATACGTGTAAAGGTAAAATTAATGATCATGAATTTTTGTAAAAATTAGGATGTGGCCGTTAATCAATGTATTCATAACATTTATTTGTAGTGTATATTGACATAAGTATTGTCTTAACCGTCAAATATATAACTTACCTCTTGATAGAAGCGGAATTTCGGCATGGCAATCATTGACATTTTACATTTCTCAGTCACAGTTTGAACATGCAAATCCATCGATCGCTCATTATTTTCCTCCCCCAAAGTCTCTTCATCCATTTTCTGGTGATTCCACATCTTCGTTACCCTATGCTGCCGGGGAAGCCGGCTCCTTACACGACTGTCTTTAGGGCACGTTAGACGCTGAATGATTAACAGTCTCAGGTGACACTGCGCCCGTCTCTCGCCTCTGCAGGTAGCACGAAGGGCCAAATTGGTTTGACCTGTGTGTGTGTGGAGGGGTCATACATACGACGAACATGCATAATGGCTTTATTCACGCCATGGCTAAGTCGATCTATACGGTGACACGCTGTATAATGCACAAATAATAGACGTTCGTCAACTGGCTGAGGGTTTCGTTTTAATTTTTAGAGCAGATGCACGTGTCCCACTGTTGAGTGGAAACCGAATTTCAAGGACAAAAAAAAAAAAACTAAAATAAAAAATAAATAAAAAACAAATTGCAATGACTTGCTACAACTTTACAAAATATGGATCATGCTTTGCATCGCATTTCAGAGTAATCCATTTGCTGATACATACTACCAGTAGATCAAGTACATGTATATAACTAATATAAATGAGTAATCCATTTGCTGATACATACTACCAGTAGATCAAGTACATGTATATAACTAATATAAATGAGCATAAATGAATATAAATGAGCACTGTAGGTATGGGCCACGTCGACTGTTAGTTAATATAAGAGTCGACCCGTCTTCTTCTCGATAAAGTTTACCCGTATCGGTTTATAGATATTATCAGTGCATAGATATATTATATGGAATGCGGAATGTATGGCAGAAACTTATATCAAACCCTGTTTTCTGATGACAGCACCAAGAACTAGAAAAATGATACGACTATAAGGACACAATAAATCATTTACCCAAAAGTGCATAGCCTGGAGTTTGTCACCACATTACACTGGGTCAACTTCCCAATTCATTTTGTATTTTGATAAGAAAAGTATTATTGGCCAATTGTCTGCACAAAGCACATATGAACGTGTACACCTACCAATGCATTGATGTCTCTTGCTTTTGTATTATTGTATGTTTGTGAGGACGAAGGGACATTTTTTTTGTCCAAACTTGAAATTAAAAAATAAAGTTCAGTACCATAAGCAATATTTGTACTTTTAAGTTTGCGTGTGGCATATTGTTGTAGGCCTACATGTAAAATAGGTACCATACAATATGTCATTATCTTTCCCATCGATGGTTGTAGCCGTTGATGCCATCTAGGTCAAACTCAAGAAAGAGATAGTAAGTTATATTTTTTCCAAAGAATTATTGACAATGTCTTTTATTAAAATAGAACCGAACCTAAGATCCAGCATAAGTTGAATCCTACATTGAACAACTGCACAAGGATGAGGTCGTGGACTGAACTCGGAACTCTTAGGATACGCTGTCATGGTTTCTTAAGGTCAGTTTGGTGGTTTTTAGACAATGTCGTTATATACACGGAGTTATCTTGATGAGTTTCGAATAAACTTCCTTTCTTATGCCGTGCTTAAGGCGTGCTTTGTACAAAACGTGAATTAAAATTTTGTTTTTAAACCATTTTTCTACTGAAGATGGATCTAACATTCTCATCTTATTACACAAAGCTCACTAAAGGTATAATGCTTCTGTTCTCCCGGCCACTGACCGAGGTAGAGGCCACTGGAAAAGACTGTAGATGATGGGAGGGGGCATGGTGAGTTTAACCTGATCAGACGGTCCACAGGGAAGAGTCTCATCAACGACTCCACCAAGTAGTAATTAACCCATCTTTTAAGAATTTAAAAATGTAAACCCGACTCCTTTTTTATTGTATATTGTGACTTTAAATAAAAAAACTTACAAAGACAATATAATATTTCCTTGGCTATATCAACGCGTAATCTCGTGATCTTCTTGATTTTGAAGTGGAATATGTAAAAGTTGAATTCATTTCATCTATTCAGAACGGAAATTGTGAATTCCTTTTTTATGATTCATATAACAAAATACATATGCAAAAATGTGGTTTTAGTCTTTTTTGGTTTATTTATCTTTTTTTTAGGGTGTGTGTGTGCAGAGTACGTAGGTCCTACATCTTTCACATTCTTTTCATTATTCTGATCTTATACTTTTAAGGACTTGACATATTTTATGTGGAAGATTGAGTAGTATCATGCATTACGTAACTATCTTCACAAAGCAAGAAGAACCAGTCTATAGAATATACAAGCATCACTTCCCCGTATAGATTGAAGTCAGATACAGTTTTAAGTAGTTGTTATTTATGTAGTGCTTGTATCATGTAGTTCATATTACATTACAGCAATTTTTCAAAGAAAAAAAACGCCTCTATGTAAGTCTACGTTTGTTAAGCAAAGAAAAGGGGCTCCTGAGATTTTCCCATTGAAATGCAATGTAAAGATGATTATTTCCATGGGATGCACTCATTTATAAAAATCAGCTAATACAGTGATTATCCTGTAAAGGTTGAATCCTAGCTCAGCACGATTTCTTAGTGTAAAATTTTCTTTGTTCACGCAAATGGTCTAAAATTTAATGTGCTTTCTTTCAAAATCCATATCTATTTCGTTAAAAATCTACGTCTTGAAAATGGCATGTTCTGCCGTTTATCGCTAATAGGTACAATGTTGTACGGAAAATTGTAACAGGCTGGCCGAAATTCAAAATTAATGTATTCAATGCAGCCTTCTGTACTGTTTGGTATAGCAAAACTGACACAGAAAGAGTCCCACTTATGCCATTAAGTTCGAATTGATGTAGTATGTATATTCTTTTCGAGTTCGTAATTCGATTTTGCCTAATCATAACGGACCTCCGATACAGTAGTAAGATATTTTCTATATAGGTTCTTCGTTTTGATTTTAAAAAATTATCAGTTATTGGGAGCGAATAATTGGCATGAAGCGGATTTTGATTGCATTTCGATTACTTTCATTAATATCTATCATCATCAACTAATTCATTTATTTCTTCAAAGAAAACAGGGTTTCCGGGTCGTTATTTCATTTTTGTGCCCCAACAGTAATCTTTTAAGATTTTGGAATCATATGGTCGGGAAATATCAACACTTAAGAGTTGGAATCACTATTCATTTATTTCTTCAAAGAAAACAGGGTTTCCGGGTCGTTATTTCATTTTTGTGCCCCAACAGTAATCTTTTACGATTTTGGAATTATATGGTCGGGAAATATCAACACTTAAGAGTTGGAATCACTTTGCATGAACACTTTTATTGTCATTGACTAAAATGAACAGAATGCTATGCAACAGAAGTAGCTGTTTAACATGTATATGGCACAGTGTTAAATGCGTGACATAAAGAAGATAGTTATCAATTTTTTGACATAGCTGGACCCCTCCCACGCTGCAAAATAATTATAAGAACAATACAGTGCAATTTGAAGCAGTTTTGTGGGCATCATGTCACTTTTTTCTGCCCCTTTTCAGCAAAAATTGGGGCCGAATTTTCCATCTTGTTTTCATGATTTGCACTTTTTGTGATATAATTGGTCAGTAAGTATTCTTTAACCTTGTTAAAACAAGCATAAATCTAGATATCTCAAAAATTTCAAAGAAAAATATACATACAAAAAAATTTATACAAAAGCACTTGATTTTACACATGTAAAATCATACCAACAAAGACATTTTAGGCTACTATTTGTTAACAAAAAAAAAAAAGAAAAAAAAAAAAAAAGAAAAAAAAAACTTAATATCACAGTTATATCCACTGATTCATCATAAAGCTCTGAAATGCTGAGAAGTATTCACAGGCTTGACAGGCAAGGATTTGTGTTGACTTCTTAAATGTTTTTTTATTAAGAAGTATAACATTTGTGCTGACTGTCTTAAACAGTTCGTTTTCGCACCGTGGACACAGAAGCACTGGCTCCAGGAATGTCTTGTTCAACTTCATTGTCATCTCGTGTGAATTCTGCATCCTGAACATCCAACAGCTCAGGGTCACTATCATTCATATCTTCAAGATCCTCCAGTCTGCTTCTACCTCCAACAGTTTCTGGTTGATCTACTACATTCCTCTGTCTGCCTACTGAAATACGTAGAATGGGTTATAAAATCTTTCACTATCATAAAAAGCATTAAAACTCACAGACAAAATGGAAAATTGACTCATGTATAACACGAGGTTTCTCAAATTAAGTCAAATAACATGCACATAAAATGGAAACTACACAAAGCAGAATAAAATGTTATAGTACTCACATGTCCCATATTGTTAAAAACAATGCAATAAATTCATAACAAAATATATAATGCACTGTCCATTTACTTAAATCTACAAACTAAAGCACCATTAATTACAATGCATTAATTTTCGTACGTAACTAGAAAGTCTCAAAACACCAATAACTTAATGATTCTAAAGGGGTCGAAAATAAAATATGTGGGTAGGGTAAGACATTTATTTTAGACAATGTGAGGGAGGGTGGGATATCCTTGGCATCATGTTACATCCACTGCAGGCCCATCACTAATCAAACATGTGATGGCTTGGCAAGCATGGAAATACAATTACAAGATATTGTGTTCAAACACAACTGTGTTAAAGCAATTGAAAGACTCATTTAAAGTGGTCTGATTTGATTCATCACCTTCTGAGGCAGTTTCAGCCTCTAATTTTCTTTCAAATCTCACTGGCTGTAGCCCATCGTTTTTGTCTGATGATGGGGTCCACAGGAAACGATGCCAAGAGAAAAGTGCAACCAAAGCAAGGAAGAAGAAGATGGTACCAATCCCAAGCATGGAAGACGTGATTGGCCAGTAGAACAAAATATACCTAGAAGAAAGTAAAATTACTATTACCACTATAATGTATAAAACTGATACTGAATGTTATTGGATATAATAACAATGCCGTATTTCTTAAAACACACTGAATACACAGAGACAAAATGATACTTAGAAAACATAATAAAAAACTTCACAATAAATATTCTGTTTAAATAGCTTCATGCATCAATCTAAAATTTAAACAAAACAAGCACTATTTCCCAAGGCTGTAATGTACACCAATGTACAAAAAATACCAGCTTCTGAAGGATAACGTTGGTGTACATTACAGCCTAAGTATGCTTTGTGGCCCTTACCTCAAGCCAGTGAAATGAGCTTGCATTATCAACTCAGCAGAGTAGACATTAATTGCATTATCCACCCCTGGAAGCTTCAGGCTTATCAGAGCACCAAGTGAAGGGAGATACTGAAATTCATGACAGGATCAATAGAATCTTTCCTGAATTTTAAACAGAATTTATTTGTAAAATTCATTCTAATTTATGTATGGTATAATAAAATTCACCAGCACAAGGCAAATTTATAAAAAAACTCATTTGGTTTTACTGGTAAGGTCTTAAAACACATACAGTTTAGAAAATATAAAGAACACATTAAATGTCAAAGTGGTGCACTCCACAGAAAAAAAAAAAACAGCTGTATGTTGTTTTAATTATGAGCCACAAACTGATATTGTGCCATGCCCTAATGAAAAAATAACTTTGCAGCTAACATTGATATAAATGACGGAATAAAACAAAACAAAACAAAAGAACTTCATTAAGTAAAGGCTTGCTTTGATGAACATAATATTCTGGTGTCAGTGTTTAATCACAGTTTACAGGGTAAATACAAAAAAAAAAAAAAAAAAAAAAAAAAAAAAAAAAAAAAAAAAAAAAAAAAAAAAAAAAAAAACAAAAAAAAANAAATACAAAAAAAAAAAAAAAAAAACTTCACAATAAATATTATGTATCTCAGTAGTTATACTTACAGCATCCTCATAGTACTGACTGAAAAGTTCCACAAGCACTGTCTGTTTTTGCTCCAGGAACCCAAACAAGAGCCAAGGAGAGAAGAACCAGGTTGTTATAGTTTGCAGTAATGGGGACTTGTACCGCAGCATACTCTGATAATACAATAATGTCATACATATCTATTCAATGCAGAAATAACCAATGCCTTATTACAGAAAAACAGATGGAATGTCTCAATTCTATGCTTCTTGAATGTGTCAATTTCTTAACTGAAATGACAAAAGCAATATTTAGAGGCAAAACACATAGCGTATTGCCAAGTGTTGAATTATTCATATGATGAAGTAAAAAACTTACTGTGATAAAGAACTTTACCAACTCACTAACTACAATAATTTCATCAAAGCAACAGCTTAATCAGTTACTTGCACTCCTTTTAGTCTTCTTCAGGGATGAAAAGAGAAAGACTGCGTCAGAGGCCTGACGCAGCCACTTTCCCTGATCCAGGGGTGGATCCAGGATTATTTGAAATGGGAATCTGGAACAGCCTCAGATACGAAGCCAACCATCGCCCCCTTGGCATGGGGTTCGGGGCCTGCTCAAGGGCCCCCGAAAAATTTTTGACGTTTTGGAAGGCAAACAGTGCCCTTTCAAAGCTTTGGTATGGTTTAGAACTATGATTCAGCTTGTCAAAATTCTAATTTCAGGAGGGGAATATTGGTGTGATATATTTTTCAGAAACTGAGGGGGCGGGGGGGCTGACAGCACTCTGAAAGAAGCTTCTTTAAAACCTGTAACCTCAATTCCTGAAGAAGTCGACTTGATAGAAACAAAAATATTTGAGTGTAAATAATTCTGATCTTAGCAGTTGTCTTTGGAAACTATCATAGTTACTTACACTTACTGCTCTTGATGATGTCTTTGTAATAACCCCACCTTTGGAATAAAACTGAATCTCAACCATAAACATGCCTGAAAATATTACAAGAAAACTTTCAAAATTTAGTGAAAGCCATTAAGTGGACACTTTGTTCCAAAAAACATCATTTGTTTTGGAAAAAATGTTTGCATATAAGGAATGTCAAAAAATATTACATTCACAAAGGAACCATTTTGTATACAATAAAAGAGTATATACTGGTATGTACATGTAATGGAGAACACTTACCAAGTTTTTCATTTACAGGTGTTTCAGGCATTTCTAATTCTAGTAGCACTTTATACGGCTGTCCCTTAAGAAGAAGCTAAGGACAAAAACGAGTTAATCAGCAACTCTCTCACCAAAACTAAGTTGTTGAAAAGTTAAAAGAATCACTTTAAAAAACCTGATCATATAATATAACAAAAATGATGCACTGTGCATAGGCCAGGAGAACCCCTAGTATGTTAATTACTGAGTACTCCCAAGGTTCTTCAAATAATTATGTTTCAAATACATGGGGCATTTAACAAATGACATTTAAAGAAAATACCAACTGTACATGGTATCAACTAGACTGTTAAAATGCAATGCTAATCTCATTCCAAAGTACTAGTAGCCTGTTTCTGCTTTACATACCAACTCTTACTGTCTTTATTTTTACTGTGTATGCTTGAAGGCTAATGCCATACAAATTCCTTCTAAGGAAGGTGGTGAGAAATTCTATCCAAGGAAACAGTTGTATTTGTATCTATAAATGGTCACCCTTTAAAATGTCAACCACGATGACTTTATACACTGGCTGAATAAGCTATTCCCTCGAACAGAATTTCTCAGCACCATAGACAATCTCTCAGAAAAATGGACAGAACAATGTCACATGTTATGTCAATGTCACAAAATTGTTCAAACTTATTTTAACATACCTGATCTCTACCATCTTTAACAAGGGAAATATTTGCAAATGGATATGAACAAGTCTTCTGGTTGGCTTCACAGGACGTGCTGAGGTGAAACACAAAATTGAAAGCATAAATTTACAAGTAGTTTAATAAGTAAATCACTTTATAGTCTCTGGTATTTTTATCTTAAATATTAACCTACTATAATCATAATAAAAAAGAGATCTAAATCAAAAGCCCTGTCACTGATAATTTACCCTGAATTATGAATATACTTGTGCACTAATGTTAGACAGAGAGAATAAATAGATAAAAAATAAACTTAAAATCTAAATAAAAGCATGAGATTCACAAACATGCCCTTGACTGTCTGCAATTACAAAGCATATTAAGTGTATTTTGAGGGAAAAATCTTACGACGCTGTAAATTATTATAAACTGTTCTAGTTTCTTACTTGATTTGAAAATGTACAGATCTTGAGTGTGACACCTGGGGCATATATGCATAATAAAAACTTCCGTAAAGAAACACCGCTGTCCACAATACAAATATTAAAACAATCCCTGCTCCCAATAGTCTAGAAAAAATATCCTTTGTTGCATCATAAGCTCTTTTAGTCCTCTTCTGTAGCTGCTTCTTAAGGGCATCTACTGGTCGTCGCAACATCTTTCCTGCTCGTCCGGATTTTTCCCGTGTAGCCTTGACCTTTGGTGTTATTGTAAAGATAAGCCAGATTCGAAGTAAGAAGTGACGCCCTGTCTAATGTGTACATCTTATTAGAAACGATCACAAATAATTAAAATCGTTCTAAATGAAAACTATTTCAATATCGTAAATCGAGAGGCTGTGTCGTTTACCACGTCTTGAAAAGGACAGACATCTGGCGGTCACAAATTGTACTATTCAAACAACTGAACCAGCAAATACCTGAAACCTGCATGTGGATAATGTGTGCATCACGAATTTTGCCACCAAAAATAGCTCCACTGGTTGTATCACAGACAAAGCCAAAACACACAGGGACTTTGTTCTTTTTTCATGGCTCGGGTTTGTATTTGATAGAGCTTATAGTTACTGGTTCAGTGGTAGTTACTAGTAGCAGTACAGTACTAGTAGTACGCCTGCAATCGACATCATCATTTTCATTTAATTTGTAAATGAAAAGGTTAATGGTTTTGTTATTAAGTATTTTGAGTAGTACTACCATAAGTAGTAAGTAATAACTGGAAAGTGCCAAGAAGGATTGCAAGGGGGGGAACATACTCATAAACTGCCCAGTAGGACATTTTGATAAACTACAGTAGTAATAAACTAAATAAACTACGGTAGTAATGATATAATTGTTTGATTTATGTAATAAAATACATGCACCACTGGTATAACCAGACGGTTACATTCAATTTAAACAAATAAAAGGTTTCAAGAAGTGCCCTATTATTAAAAAAAAAAAAAAAAACTGTGTCATTCAACATATGTCAGCTGTATCAATATACCAAGTATGTATTTGACTTAACTCTTCAATTATTTTAGGTGATACTAGTGATGGAATAAAACTGTGGTTAAAAGAAGTCACAGGCAAAGAATTTGTTTTTCCACACATGAAAATAATTTATCCAAGTGCTCCTGTAAGGTAAGGTACATGTAGCTAAGAATTGGGCCTCCCAATTCAGCAAACCTCTGTATGCATGGGCAACCCTCTTAAAACATCTGGGACTCTATTTGAGAATTGTGTGTTCTTGGTTTCAGATCAAATAAGCTTTCAAAGTATTTGATTATCATTGACGGGAAACACCTTGCATGTGATGATGTATTAGAATCTATAGTGTGCACTTAGTCGTGAACTTGTTCCTTGCATACGAAAATAATTGTCATAGCAAGAAATGAAATGCCAAATTATAACTGGGTAACCGTTGAAGTTATTGCAAATCATACTTATGGCTCATTTGAATTGGATTTTATTAAACGCCATGTTCTGTGAAAATTCATCTTTCTGAATTGTTAAGTTTGTTCTTTCAGACCGTACACTCCCATGTTGGGTCAGTTATCCACTGTGTGGTTTGACCGAAAACAAATTTCTCCATTTGTACCAGAGGACACAAAAACTTTAGAGGAATCATGTTCTGAATTGAACAAACTGATTGAAACTGAAGTTGAGAATGGAATACCCTTGGAGAGGATTATTCTAGGTGCACACATCAGAATTTAAGAATTACATCAAAAGGGCTGTGGAATTAATAGAAATTACAGCTGTGCATTTATTAAGCCTAATTGTCAGATTATTTTTAACGTGTCAGTTAATGCATCAAAACATCTGCTTTCTTGTCGTCCTTTAAATGTTTGGACTAAATGTTTGTCCAACAAAATTTTGTTTTAGGTGGATTTTCAATGGGTGGGGCAATGGCTCTTCATCTTGGATATAGATATCAGAAGCAGGTGGCAGGAGTAATAGCTCTGTCTTCCTTTCTTAATCAACAGTCAGTTGTATACGAGGTAGGTCATGAATACATTTTTAATTTTTAGCAGNACAGACACATCTGTGTCTGTACATAAAAATTAATTGATTTGAGGTTTGATGGTATATATACTTTATAGATAGAAATTAAGTAATATTTGCTTGAAAATAAGCCATGCTCCTGAAAGCATCTTGAACCTCTGTTAAATAAACCTGAACTTCAAGCTTTTTTTTTTTTTTTTGGAAGGAAGCCTGTACTAAACATTTTATTGCATACTTTTGAAAAAGGTAGAGACACTGAAGTAATTTACACAGGAATATATGGAAAAAAATCCAAGATAAACTGAGGTCCTGTATAATTTTAATGGTAGCAGAAAATCATAAGGTTTAGACATGAATTATTTTTATGATTGTGTGAATATTCACTTGATGAATTAGGTACTGAGCCCTGAATTGACCTTGTAATTAATCATCCAAATCTGGCTACTTTCCAGGGCCTGAAGCATGACTTTGGTCCTCTTCCACCCTTATTTCAAGCAGCAGGAACAGCAGATTCTTTGGTATTGTTTGATTGGGTAGCCACAACAAATAAAGAACTCTCTGCTCTTGGTGTACAGACTACATTTCATAAGTTTGACAATCTTTGCCATGAGTTGAGTAGAGAGGAGGTCCAGTTAATGAGAAAATGGATTGAGGAGAGAGTACCAGATGATAGATGAATGGCACATGTATATGAAAAAAAGTAATTTTATCTCTGCAGCTATACTGACAAAAGATTGGAGGCCTACAAAGATGTTTTCCAAAGAGGCCGTTCAGATTGAGAAGAGCCGCGTGCTAGCTAGGCCACGACCTAAATATGGCAGACCTACATGAAAGGAAGACCGCTTAATCATGTAATGGTCTCTCTGCCTCTCACACGTCTCTCCACACGTCGTCTTTTGACCCGTTGAATTGAGCCGAGATTTAATAACTGTGCCCCTGCAGGGATGACGCATGGGGAGTCCACATTTGAGATATGAGTGCACATATTTTGTATGATATTTGCATTTTACCCATTTTATGCTGTAGTACTCTCCAGTATGGAAAGAAATCAATAGAAATTAAAAAGCGATATAAAACAGTTATGCAGATATTAGTGTTTGACCAAAGTACAAAATTGACTTCTAAATCTTTGACATTAATTTACCCATTTGACCAAGATATAATTACAATTATACTATATTCCAGTTTATTAAGGGTTCATCGGACTACTTCGATATAATAATGTTTGTGGTACAAAAATTACTTGTACTAGATTCCAGTTTTTGAAGGAGTAATCTAACATACTACTTAAGGTTTCATTTGTTTAAGATTTCAATTAGCATACCTTTATAAAAATTATTTATAATTGTATCAGTCTATCTAACTGTTAAGGTTATACATTTTCATTAACTCAAAACTACAAATACAATTTCAAATGGCCACAAGAAGAAAATGGATGCACAAATATTTATTGTTGCACCAAAATTGCTCCAACCAAGAACGATCTTCTACATCTGTAATTAACCAGTTTTAAATATAACTATTTACGTAATAAAATATTCTGACTGCCTTATTTCATATGAATACTTTTAAACTGAAAACATGATTTACTGAAGTGAGCAACTGCACAAGAGAAGATATAGATAGTTCATGTTAAAAAGTCAACTTTGACACATGTGGACCCTTCAAATTATTACTTATTAAAAATATAGTATCTAGTTCCATGTGAAACTTATACCTATTTAAGTATGAAAAATAAATGGAAAATAACCCTAGTCAGAACTGGAGTGTTTGGTAAAATATTTAACGATTAAACCTTTGAAATTAACTATACCAGCCATCTTCAACCTAAGAGCTACCAAGTCTGTTAATACATATTTCATCAGAATTAATTCAACTTCTTCTGTTCCCTCTACAAAACAAGGTTTTCTCTCTTTTTTGAGGAACAGTCTCTTTCTTAGTCACTTTGGATGTTTGTGAAGCCCGCAGCTTTTCCTGCTTCTTTTTTAAAGCTGCCTGTCTTTTTCTTTCAATTTCTGCAGCAGTGCATCTGGACTGACTGGTCTGCTGAGTTGCTTGTGCTAGAAAAAAGAACACCCTTCGCCAATTACCAAGCACAACTTTGATATCAACAATTGATCAATTCAATTTCAAACATACAACACTAAAATATACCCTTAGAGGCTTGCATGTACTGGCCACACAAGAATGGTGAATACTGAAAATAATCTATTTAGTTTCAACTAATTATTTGGGGCACTTTTGAAAATAAATACTATTTCACTTGTGAAACATGAATACAGTAATAGTTTTGTTATCAGTCTAGAGGACTAGCAACGACAGACTAGTTCCCCTGAAAGATTTTTAAATGTTCCTTGATCAATGATGTGAACTAGTGCCAATATCAAGCTGTTTTGACAGCCACTTTTGATTGAAATCAAGGTCACATATCAGATATCATCATTGAAAATTCAAGATTGTCCACTCCACAGGGTAAAGTGATGATATAAGCGATGATATGCGTGAAGTAAAGGAAAAAATGAATAAGGTTATAAATATATATTTTTTTTCATGGACTACTTACATTCCATGTGGTCCAATATAGCAAGGATCTGTGGTTCTGACAAGGCATCATCATCATCATCAAGTAAGGAATCACTGCTAGCATGTGCACATTCTAAAGAAAACAAAATCAGGATTAAACAAGAGGTGGATTGCTGGGAATAATCCTGCTCAAGTTCTTACAAGACTAACCCTTGTGAACATTACAGGTAAATGAGACAGAAACAGCTTCAAACATGTGCTAGGGATTCTTATGTATTATAAAATTACACATTAACATTCATCAGTCCCCATTACATATCCTCAAATAGAAGACATGGCATCATTATTGTTTTTACCACACATCGACTTAGGTTGCATTCGCAACAGTGACTATTCTGCGGATCAAATGTGACCCCCCCCCCCCAACTTGAATGCTTGTTGTGAAATCCCCATAGGGAATCTATTCAATGTCTATTAGGGGGTAGATGGTAAGCTATTAAGTGGGTCGCCATATTTGATCCAGAACTAGTAAGTCTACTGTTGTAAATGCAGCTATAGTCCATTTTTATATACTTAAAATATAAAGAGTGTATGCACAGTCAGTCAAGTGAATAAATAAATAATAATAATTTGAAAGTTGTCACAAAAGATGCTCGACACAAAACAATTACCTTCAGCTCCTGCAACAGTATTGCCTGAAGTCTGTGCAGATGCCTGCACCTTGTCAAACTGAACCTGTGAACCATTTTGGTTTGATATGTAAACTTCTTTCGGCATCCTGTTGGTACATAGCTTTCTGTTTGATTTAGCATTAGTGTCAGCTAAGCAAGTTTGAGGCTTAAAAATTTTAGCCTTCACTGGTTTATGAGGGGTTGTTCTGTCCAAAACTTCATCTGGTTCTGCTAGTTGAAACAGTAGATCATCTGTCAAACTGTTGTCATTCCAGTCACCAGACTTCAGCACCTTATGTTCATCTGAGATCACAGTAGGCTGTTTACTGCCAAGACCAACATCTGATTTATCAACAACATTGATATTTGGCACCGGTCCAGTTGATGAATAGTTTTCTTTTCTATTTGTCTGGATTTTAAGTTCACATTTTGGCTGCAAGGAAGACCCATACTTCTTACTTGGGTTCATTTGTGTGTTTGATTTTGTGTTATGCTTGTTTGAATTTGTGGACGAAAAGTCAGTTTGCGCCATTTTACTCCTCTGCAGTTCAGTAGATTGTATCTTCCCTTTAAAATTAAACTTTTTCCCTAGTTTAATATGTTCCTTATCTCCATTTGAACAAGGGTCCTTGCTACTACAACTAGCACTTTTCAAAGTAGACAGTTGCTGGGACTGATCTCCAGTGCTGTTCTTCACATTACTGGTCCAATTTGACTGACATTTCTTTTGTTGCACCGAATCCAACATATGCTGAGGTGTAAAGTTTGTATGAGATTTTGCTGCAGATGGAATACAATCAAGTACATTTTTATAACATACATTATTATTGAGTACATTAGGAGGACCACTATCAAGACTGAAAGTGGCTCTGCCAGATTTTTTAACAGGGATGTAAAGTAGATCAGCGATGTTTCCACTTTTCCTCTTAACAGTCTTAGAGGCATGTGCTAAGGGGAAATCATCAAACATCTCTTGGGTAGCTTTAATGAGGGATTCATCATTGAAAAGGTCATCGCTCTCCCATCCATCATCAAGGGGTGCAATCCCATTTTCAACAACATCATCTTGTTCTTCAGACAGATGTCTCTGGAACAGTGTGCCATTCCGTTGCTGCTCAAGTATAGACTCCCTTTCAGTCTGGCTGAGCTGGGAGACGATCTGTGACAAGGCTGCCATGGTGCTTGGTGAGGAGGGAAGAACACTTCCTTTATCAAACACATAACTCAGTGGCTGTGTACTGGTCGTGTTATTGGATTCACCCACTTCTCTTACTTGTGTTAATTCCTCTTTTAAAGATTTACTGCAATAATAAAAACCTGGTATTCAATACGTCTTTTTTTTTCATTGGCTCTGGGTTTGTTTATCCCCAGAAAGAATGGCAAGGCATAAAAGCTACAAGCATAAAAATCTTGGTTCTATGAAGCCACAACTGTTCTTACACAGATTATTTTTGTATTCCAGTGCACTAAAAAGCTTTGCACAAACTATGAATGATTTCACATTCTCTAATACCCTAACTATAAAAAGCTGGTTAAACAGGCTTAAATCTAAAAAAATATAATAGACATAGTTGTGACTTTGATATGTAATCTGTATTACAGAAATCTGTACTTTCTTTTTGCTTTCATGTTGCAAACAACATATTACCTATTTTTTCCATGTTCTGTTGTCTCATCTGAAATGCAAATAATCAAAATTGTTATCCTTATGTTCTTCCAACTTAGAAATACATGCTATGGTTTGAACACTACTTATGATCTAATCACAGGGTTAGGACAGAACCAGAAATATGAGATTATAATACAGTCTGAGAGTTCTGTTTGTGGCACCTCAAACCATTCTAGGGTAATATTTAATATAAAGCAGTTCTTTCTCCCTTACCTTGCAATTTTATGATATCTGCAAGTTTCTCCATAAGATCTTTAGACAACACATTTGGCTTGGTTGATTTCAGTTTTCCTCGCCCTTTTTTCTTCATCTGTCTGAAAGACATGAAGAAACAAAATTGGCAATACAAAAAAAAAAGAAACACAGAAATGCAAATACCATTCTCATTAAGCAAAATCACTGTAAAGGTTCAAGGGTTGGACCACAGGATTTTGCAGCCAGACAATATCATGTCAATATCATGGATGACACTCATTAGAACATGACCATGAAAGACTGAAAACTTTATCTAAAACTCATAAAGAGTTCAATAATTAAATTATTCTTATAATGTTTGTATTAGTTAGAGAGCCTGTAAATGTAAACCATTTCTTTGAGCTCAATAAATTATTATTATTATTATTATTATAAAACAATCAACTTACCTTGTAAAAGGTCTGGATTCTTCTGTATCTTCCAAATTCCAAATGCCCATCAAAGTTGAGGAGCAAGAGGGCACAACTTTTGCCTTATAAAACACCAACAGATACAAATTTACCATCTTTTAAATTAAACTGCCAACTTTATCCACACATTTATATTTGTATAGCTAAAAATTACCTTGAACTAGAAGACTAAAAATATTCCAAAATAACAATCACCATAATATCAAATGTAAACACACATTTGTTTGAAAAAAATTCTGTATCAGCAAAAACAACTCTATAGTTTTCAAGTTAAAAAATGATATTACATATTTCCAATGGTTATTGTGTTACATACAGACACTTACACCATCCACCAGGTCATTCACCAAGTCTTTGATTTCATTTTCCCTGTTTTCAGCTGGTAATTTTTGCAGGCACACTGTGGGTAAGATAATGAATGGATAAGAAAGAAACTTGTGAATAAACTTTTAATCAAACTAAAAATTGCTCTCTGCATTTATCTTTTTCAAATATCTGTGAATACCTAACAACCCATGCTAAAGCACATGATGCAGATCATAGACATCAATTATACCAAAGCAAAACAATACTATGCAAGTCACTGATTCACTTACTCTGATTGAATCTTTTAATGGCATCTGGTGAGTTACAGTCCCAAACAACTTCTCTTGATTCTGCTTGTGACAGAAGGATGTCATCCTTCAGTTTAGGGGTGAAAACAAAACTGTCCTGCAGCTTACATTTCTGAAGAAATTATGGCATAGCATAAAACAATGTTACGTCTTCAATTTGGGTGTGCCAAATTAGCAAATTTCAGCTACTTTGATTAAAATTTTTGGTACTAAATTTTTTTGCTAAAATATGTGCAATTTTAATAAAAATTACAGAAATCTTTATCATAATAACTAGGTAACCAAGAATCAAAATATTTTGCTATAAATGTATCATGAACCTATTTTCAAGCTTAATGCAATACATTTTAATTCATACACATGCAATCACCATATAATTACCTTAGGATGACGTATAGGAGTTGACATAGTAAACAATGAGTTTTGTCTAGGACTTAACAACTCAATCAGTGAACCATCACTGTCTTTTGGGGTTGAAGATTTCACAAATCTTAATGAAGCTGGGGGACTCTGAATACAAGGGCTCCTAACAATCTGCTTTAGTGTTTTGCTTCTTGTCCTCTTCGCTGGATTAGAACTAGGAGATGTTACTATTGCATCCATTTTTTGGTCATCAGAATGGTTTGCTGCATGTGTCTTTATACTTTTTATTGATTTTGTACTTTGCTCCTGAACAATGTTGGTCTCAATGTGCACTGCAGTAACACATGGTATCTGACCTGAAAGCAGTGAAAGCATTACTTTTAAGTACTCAAACTGCCTAAACAATACACAGTTACTGATTTCAAAATCTCTCATTTTATGCCCTAGTAACATTTAATAGAAGTCACTCAATGGCTCTTTTTGACAACATGGCAGACAAGCTGACAATAAACAAATCGTACTGATTTGTTAAGTTGGATCAACAATATTAGTTAAATAGTAATACATTTTGCTTAAATATCATCTTGTTTTCTTGGGAATGACCTTAATACTGGCCTTTTTTTAGTGTATTTCCCTGAATTGCACATTTAAGAATGATTGAAACTTATACTCAAGAGGGAGGGTAACCAATAGAAGTGCATATACAGATGTAGACTGACAAACTGCGAAGTTTTGAAAATGCAAGTACCAACATTTGTCAGGATTTAGTAATTAGTCTTTACTTTACTGTCTCCAAAATCACACCATACAAATTATTAATGCTAATTAAAAGATAATTTACTTATTCCAAGTAACTGTCTCATGCCCATGTTACTTCCTTGCCTCAATTGAAAGCTGGGCACTGGGTACTTTTGCAGTATTTCCCTTACCCTACAACTCTCTCAACTCTCTTTAATGTTAATCAAAATAAGTTATGTGCAGTTATTGTCTCTGCTATTCAGATAAAACAGTAATTTTCCCCCCGACAATGGCTGTGGCTCTATCATATTTGGATGGCTTAAAGTTTTGTGAAGAAAACATTGTTAAATTCTCAAAATGATTTATATGAATAGCAGAATAGTACTATTCAAAGTCACCGTACAAATAAATTAAGGAGAGCCATTGAAAATCAAACAGTTTATATGGAACTGGTGGCGGTGTTGGAGGATACTGCAAAAGTGCTGAAAGCAGGACTTATAACATTCAAATTTGTTGCCCTATCAGCATTAGGTAGGAAGCACAGACTAAGTCTAAGGTTCGTGGTGTGTTCAATTTTGTAAACCGCCATAAATTTAAACGGTTTATCCATACTCAAATATGTGGCTATTTTTTTTTAGCTCAATTAGAAAGAAATATCATGTGTGCCCCCCACATTAAACATCACCAGTTAGTTCTGTGACGTACTGAAGCTGGCGTGGACTTACTGATTGCATCCTTTCTCTTGGTCTCAGTTACCTTTCTCTGCCGTTTGCCCATTTCACTCATACCCCTTCCTTCATGTTATTGGTAAATGCATCTAAGTTTAACAAAATATCAATCCAGAGTCTAACTTTTGATATTCAAATCACAACACTAGCAGGGGTACCGACTGTAGCAGAAATTAAAAATGGCCGCTCTTCTCAATGCCTCGTTTTCGAAATAGGTCAATGGGAAGAATCTCTGTTGATTGGTTGTGAATCTGTTGCTGAGACTAGCAGGATAATATTCGACTACTTGTTCCTTAACTTGAAGACATATCCTTACTTAACGATGAAATTAGCAGATTACCAGTATATAGTAAAAAATATACACCACTCGTGGAATAGAAATTGCCTCCAGGACTTGGCAAAGAAATTTCCAGAGTAAGTGTGAACCGATTGATAACTTTGGCGTCAATTTAGCAGTTGTATATCAGTTGAGTTGTATCACCTACATATGTATAGATTATCATCATACATTCCATATATAACTTCTTATAAATTAACTTATTGATATTATGCTACATGTAAACATTGAAATCATGTATATACTTATTTAAATACTTGTTTGTACTGTTGTAGTTAGATGTTATTGTCTTTGATTGTACCTTATTTGTGAAGGTGTATCAATAAAGAATCCACTGTATCAAACTTTCTGTCCTGAGATGATCTTATAAAACCAGAATTCTTTTAAAATAGTGATAAATAAATTTCATCTTGTAGAAAGTATCCTTTGGGAGTGACACAGAAAATGATTTCAATTCATGTCCAACTGTTAGTCAAATAACTTTATTATTATTATTATTATTTATTTTTAATTTCTCAGATATTCAATGGAGACTATAGGAAGTATTTATTCGCAGGAATATCAGGTGAGTATAGACTGATTGAAGCTGAGGTATTCACATTTTCGTATTTATTATCATAGTGCTATATATATACATAGTGCTATATATATACATGTACATTGTATATGATATACATTAAAAAGAAAATAACAGTGCTACATGTAGAAGCTGATAATTTATATAGACTTGCCCTTCAAGAAACTTTCTACAATGTCCCTTCAAATTTGAAAATGAGTAATTTTCTATTTCTTGAAGGATAAGTCTGCCATTCATATACACTGTGTGTACAGTACGTGTACCAGTGAAGATGAGTGTACATGTACACAATGAAGGTTAGAAATGGCAGGGCCTGTCACAGGCTGTCAGTGCTACAGGCTACAGGCTACAGTATTACTCACTCCATGTGGCAAAGACAATTGAATGTAATTTGTATAAACATGATTTTTATTTATATATATTTATTCATTATCACTATCATAAATTCACAGAATGATATGACTTAACGTAATTGTACAAGGAAACAAACAGTATTTACTGAAGAGGATGAAGAATTCAACACATGGCACAAATTACATCAGTTATATAATTACACAAACAAACACTCTTTTAACTTAAATTTAATTGAATGCTGAATCATTCAGCAGGGGATGGATTAATCTTATTTTCTTCTCATTTTCTTCTTTGTTGAAAATTGATAATCATGACCAACTGTTGCCTTAATTAAAAGTTTTTTTTAAAATTCATTGAATTCTATTTACATTACTTATATGTAATACAATGTATCTGTTCACCAGACAATTAAAGTTTGTGTTATTGATGTACTGTTGCAGAAAAAGATGAAAAAGACCCATTTTAAGCATTATACCCAGCATATTACAGAAGAGTATTATGACAGGTAGGTACAAGTACATCACTTCTTAAAGATCTCGAGCGTTTTTAGCGTGGTTTGATTTAGAATTGGTGTCAGTTCAAATAGGGTAGTTGCAATTGGCAAAGGGGATTTGCTAAAGCAAATTCCCTGTAAACCTCCATGAATATTAGTTTTGCTTCAAATGTCAGTTGAATCTTTTCACAATCTGCTTTGGAGCTGAAATATGCATTAGCATATTTGGACAAATGTGCGCTAGCTTCCATCTCAACAGTACCTTCACCATGGTCATATTTGGCTTGTATTCCTGCATGAATTTTAGTGCCAGGGAGTCTAAATTGTACACCGAGTGAAGGTGTATCACTTAGTTGCAGGTGGGCTTCAGTAAAAGGGAAAGGTGAAAACTTGATGACAAACTTGGGGAAAACTGCATTGCCATTCCTAAACTTGAAGCTAATTGAACCCTGATATTCACACCAGGGGCTTCCGCAAGTGGCTAGTCTGAAGAAGTGGCTTGCTACTAGTGACTTAGGGTGCTTATAGATAAATCTCTGTAAAACTTCAACATACTTTGGAACAATTTGAAGTTGTTCAATTTTAAGCTTAGCCTCGGTAGATCCAAAAACCTCTACCCAGTCATGTAAATCATCAAGACACTGTAACAGTTCTTCTGTGGTGTCTATGATAGCTTTTAGTTGCTGTTGAAACTCTGTAAGTTGGAATTGTTCCTTGTCTTGAAACTCCACTGCTATATTTAGCCAACTTGAAGAAAGTAGTGGGATACTAAAATTGTAAAGTAAAAAGACAATGTTGAGGCTATTTCATAGTAAATTGATTTTAGTGTAATCATGAAATAATTTGGAAAGTGAAAGTAAACCTTATTGTTACTTATTGAAATTGATATATGTATTTAAATGTAAGTTTCAAATAGCCTTCATTTGATATAAAAATTGTTAATAAAAAAATACGTACCTGTCAGACTGTGTGCATGCCAAAATGGATGCAAGTGCTGTTAACCAAATTACATAATGAAATGAAACTGACATCTCTTTGTCTTTTACAAGTATCACTTCAAAAAATTTAACAGCTTGACCAATACAGCTTCATGGACTTCGAAGGTTCTTTTTGAAGTTCTGTAGAAAACTGTACAAGCTATTTGTATGCCTTTGTAAGTTTCTAAGGAGAGCGTTTTGGTGACAATTTATACCATAGAAGCTTCTTTTATATTCCTATGAAAAGTATGATGCATGTGTCATTTGCTGATTGGAAGAATTGTTTGTCAGCTTAAACCCTTATTGGTCAAAATGCAGGGAAATCCCCCTAGAAGTTTTTGCTCATCTATTTACAGCCAGATCTCCATAGCACATAATTTTTTTTTGTCATGAAATTATTGATTTGCCTACAACAGTCAGTAGTTGTTTCTTTGAACTTAGTATTGGAATTTATTGAGTTCTTGATTATTTGGAACTTATGAAGTGACTAACACCACTATATTACATAAAGAATGCCACACTAAAATATCATATATATAAAAATAAAAAATCAATCCTTTGGATATCTTTTTCTTTCACTTGGCTTAGGCAGTGTGAACTTCTGTATGCATTATTATTATTATTTACATTTTGTGCAAAATGAGCAGTGTGGTAGTAATTTTACCACCTAAAATGGCTGCGAAAGATTTGACATGTGTACCATTTAAGTCGTGCTTAATTAATTTAACACAATCACATAGATGTATTTGTTTGGAAGAGTGCAATTTATTACCAGTTAGCATACATGATAGCAAATATCCGTAAGACTTGTTTCAGCATGCTCATGCATTTGTGGTAAAACCTGATATAAGTCTTTTTCATGTATGATCCTGCTGTGATGCAAACTCTGGCTAAGTACATACATAATACCTGAGAGATTATCTTCTTTTGCTGGGGTAGCACTAAGGCCTCATTCAGAATAGGGGACTAACTAGTCCAAGGGTCAAATATGGCCGACCCACTTGAATACTTCCCCACGGGATATCTTTTCAGTGTCCTTTAGCGGATTAGACGGCAAGCTTTGTAGTGGGTTGCCATATTTGACCCTCGGACTAGTTAGTCCACTATTCTGAATGGGACCAAATACTCGCCAAGCCAAATGCTAAAACTGACTTAAATTGGGAAACAAAAAGGGCTTGATTTGACAAATTTAAGTCAAACTGAGACCATTTAGATAACAAATTGACAAAAAAGTGGTGATTTGGCTAGTCGAAAAAAATTGCCAGGGCTACCCCAGTCTTGGTCATATTTTGAGCTCTTATCTTGTTTGTCCATTGATAGCACTCTATATAGATCGCATTCACAACGAGTTGAGCCAGGCTTTACAAATCTTGGGGACTAAATATGGCGGATGTACATGAAAGAAAAACCACCTAATCTTTTAATAGTCTCTCCGCCTCTCACACGCCTCCCCACACGTCATCCCTGCAGGGGGGACAGTCATTAAATCTCGGCTCCATTGGGACGACACATGGGGAGGCGTGTGAGAGGCGGAGAGGCTATTAAAAGATTAGGCGGTTTTCCTTCATGTACGTCCGCCATATTTAGTCTCCAGGATTTGTAAAGCCTGGCTCAACTCGTTGTGAATGCGACCTATGTGCTCATTCTCAGTGAAACTATATAGAACAGTCCAACTCTGTGGGGACTCTTGCTGAATGCAATCAGATTAACAGATTGACACACTTCCTCTTGTTTCCAACTTAATCACCAGCTTTTCTGTATTCTACTCAGCGCCAGGAAGATGCTTGTTAATCTGATTGCATTCAGTAAGTCCCTGTTGGGGTTGGTTCGATCTATGCAGACCAGCATTTGCATTGGAAATGAGCCCTATGCATGAAGTTAACAGAATTTAGGAAACACAAAATTAAATGTTCTTTAAAAAATAAGTTCTAGCTTCTGTTATTTAGGTACCAAATAGCCATAGGACAGGGTCAGGAACAAGTGTTAGTGAAAATGTCAGAGGAGGTATTTCATTCTTTAATTGCTTTTGCTGTTCAAAGTACATATACAGTAATTTTGTAGAGACAGACCAATTTCAGATGCTCTGACATTAAGTCACTCTCAAGACATCTACAGAGTGTGTGCGTGTGCACAATTTCATTTGCTAAATTATTCCAGTAAATAAGTTTCCATAAAATATCTGAAATCTGCTATTACCTTTGGCTTTAGACAATATTAAGTGCCTATGCCTGCTTTTGTTGCAATTGTTAAGTTCTACTAAGTGTAATTTTATTCAATACTCAATGAGACTGTATACATTGTAGATGCTAGCATTTAATATTTAAAGGTTATTTTATAGCATTTAGTGTTTTTGGTGAATTGCATCATCTAAATGTCTTCTCAGGTGTTTATATGGGTCAGTGCATTCATACTGATATGCTTTTTGTCCTCAGCTTCAAAAGTAATGGTAAAATCCATATAAACAACATAGATGTATTATTGGATACAATGCTAGCCAAAAATTTGACTAAACTTGATTGGTTTCTTGAAAATTTTAGGTGGACCTTTCACCTATTCTTCTGGCTAGAATTGTCCTGGAAAGACATTTAGCTCACACAGTGTATGGTGGAGAAAATGGTAAGTGATTAAAAAAAAAAAAGAAAAGAAAATAAGTGTCAAATAAACTTTTATTGAAAGAAAATGATATTCATGTAAAGATATGTAATCACTAACTGTAATAAGGAATACCTTTAGTACTGGAAGGAAATACAAACTTTTCAAGCTATTTGTTTTGTTTCCAGTGCCAAAAAGTGTACTTAGTCAACAGTTGAAAGATCCCAGTTTAATAGAAGATGCCGTGCTGGCCAATGAAGTCAGTCTGGTATGCAAAGTTTATGTATGGTTTTTACAGTGAAATGCTAATGACTGCTCACACCATCAAACATGCAGTTCTGTACATTTGTTAAACATTAGCAATAAATGAAAATTTCCATAAACACATTAGCAATAAATGAAAATTTCCATAAACAAAGTAATTGTTGGCTTGTCACATTCTATTGCACTTGTTGTTTTATTTTTATTTTCAGTGTCTTCTCATGGATGATAATTATGGTCATTATGTGGACACTATAAAACAGTATCCTTTTATTTAAACAAACCAAAACAGCATATGGGAGACCTGTTCAAGATTATGTCACATCAATACAGAAGGCTCTGATATGACAAGCTTTGCAGTTGATAGCCTCATCAGATACAGTGATATTTAACATTGTTAATGACATCAAAAGGACATAAAGAAAGTGTAGCCAGTGACTGACCATAGGAAAAATAAGTATATTGAATAATTGTTCGTCTTTCTTTAACATGAACAAAGCTCAGTCGGTCATGAATATGAGCTGCTGCTTAAGGAAAAAGTGGAAGAAAAAGGTCTAGCTTATTTAGGTGAGTTCCACATAAATACCAAACTACATTAAGATTCTTGATGATATACAATTTTGATTTACACAAGTTTATCTTCACTGTTTTAGTCAGAAATGAACTTATTCACTGAAACAGCAGTTTTTCATTTTTTTTTGTAAAACACGTCATTTAGAACAAGGTGGTTAACATGCCACACTCCCCCCACACACACACACACACACACACAGTGACAAACTCTCACACACACACACACTAACCCACAAAAACAACTAATAATAAATGATAATAACAATAATAATATAATAATAATAGTAATGGCAATAAATAAAGGAATTATTATTTTTGATTGTAAAAATGCAGGTGAAGATCAGCTGAGAATTAGAGGATATGACAAGACTCCAGACACAAAGCTAGAGGTGCCAATAGGTAAATTAGTCTTTTGGAAGTGTCAATTAAATGTGGATTTTATTCTTTTAAAGCCTCTTTTACAATATTTATCAAACCATTTCAACAGCAAAGAAGATAGGAGCTTTAATTTAAGTCTGTCACTTTTTAAAAAAAATTGGATGCCACTTAAAAAAAAAAAAGATTTTTTTAATAAAGATAATACCTTCTGACAATAAATTTCATATTTATTTCAGCTGTAGATGGCCATGTTGTAAATTGGATTGAAAGTAAAGCATCATTTGGAGATGAAGACAGTCATAAGGGATATCTAAAAGACCAGTTTTGGAGTTACTGGAACAGGTAAATAAGAACAAAAATACCTTATGTGTATTCTTTCAAAATAAAGAGCTGCTGGGCAATCAATGTTTGTCATACTCAGCAACAGGGTAATATATACACCCACACATGGCTCCAATCTTAACATCTACTAACAGGTGATATTTGTTAACAAACTTCTATTGCAATAGGTAAAAAGAATGCCAAAATCAAACTCTGTAGAAAAGGGTAGCCCAAGTAAAAGTAATATACCTTTTTTCTGCTTTTAGATTTGGGCCTGGATTGGTTATCTACTGGTTTGGTTTCATTGATGAACTGGACACAAACAGGGACAAGGGCATCCTACTCATGGACCACTTTCCAGAGAATATAGTATACATGAACCCTAAAATAGTGTCTAGGGCACAGTCTGTAACTTGAGTTTTGTAACTTGAGAATTGGCTTTTCATTTTTTCATATCACCACATAAAATGCAAATGCTGTACCTGAAGATGCAGCATGTACCAGAAAGAAAAAAGAATGTACCTGGCCTGTAGCCAGGGTAGGGTTTAGAGCAAATCACCTTTCTTGCTGCTGTGGGCAAAAATTGATATAGATACAATGTTTTAGTGGTAAAAGGTCCGCTTCTTTTCTGAAAAAGACCCCTCCCCTTCAAATTTGCTGGCTAGTAGCCTAGGCTCCGTATTTCGAAAGGTTTGTTATGTTGCGCATGTGCGCAAGTGTCTCAATTCCATGGCCCCGTATCTCGAAATAGAATCGGTTATGGAATCGAGACGCTTGAGCACGTGTGCAACATAGCGAACCTTTCGAGATACGGAGCCCTGGTTTTCCAGGCTGTCTACTAAAGTGGGTGCCATTCCTGTAAACAGATACAGCATGCACTAGTATTTTGTCAAGGCAGTCACACCTAGCATGTAGCACTAAAGAAATATTACCCATACACAGACAAATGCAAGGTCTTCATAAGAATTATGTTGTATACTCAGGCACACATTGGTGTTCACTCCCTTACTCTGAGGGAGATACAGTGTTTTAAGCATGTTCAAAAAAACAATTTCAAACCCATCTTGTATCTTCATTTTAATATTTTGATATGCTGGAAATGGGATGGTATCTTTATTTTAATATGCTGGAAACGGGATGGTGTCTTCATTTTGATATGCTGGAAACGGGGTGATTTCATGCATTCAAAGTTGTGTGTATAACTGGTGTCACATGATACTCATACATGTCTTTATGCTAGGTGTGACAGAGCCTGCACTTAGGGCATGTGGTATCAGTATATTATAGTCCGGAGAATCACCAAAAATTACAATACGCTTAGCAATTTCTTGTTCAGATTTTTGTCATAACATTGACAGATGTTGAAAACTTATTAATAAATATTGAAAATTTGTCACAGGTTGTCAGTTACATTAAGGTTGATGATATATACTTCATTTCTATTCAAGGTCACCAGCTGACTGACAGTGAGGTACTGTTGTCCTCCCAGTTGTATCATTTTAGACCTTTTGGTCCAAAGAAAAAATGTGGTGTAAGATCAGACGTGTATTTTTAACACCAAAAAAGATTATTGTAGACGTATCAAAATAAGTTTTTCAGTTGCAGTGTGACAGTGTCAAAATATATATGAATACTGGTCAGAATTGGAAAATATTTTATTTTGAAATTTTGCAATGAAAAAACTGAAGTGTTAGGCTTGGGAAACGATGCCTTTTTGACATTGCATAGTATTCACAGTGTCATAATAAAAAAAAAAAAAAAAAACTAACACAAATATTACAATTAGTAGTATATACTGCTATGTAGAAACATACAGATATTATTAGTATCAAAATAAATATCACAATGTACTTTTGTGTATAAATGTACATTCTTGATAATGTGTCATTATGCTGCAGGGGGAATACATATAAAACACTGAGGAATTCTATCACAACACGGACTTTTTCATCTTTGATAAAATACTAGAAAATATTAAGAATACAATATTTTGTGAAATGAGAGTGCAGAGTTACCAACATAAAAGTACTCAAAATGATCTACTATTAAAGTCTACTATTAAAGATCTTAAACGGTAGTATAAGACCAAAAAACAATGGGACTTTGTCCTAAGTTACTTACATGTATATGTAGAGTATGCATAAATGCATTAAGTTTACAATTCTGATGATGGTGGGAGTAATCAACATTTTCACAAGAATGTGCTGCCAGAAAGCAAATGTAATTGACAGATGCTAGCTATTGGTAATTTGATCACTAAAGGTTGTTTGCCAATGAACATTACAAATGTAGATTTTCTAAAAGGCAACTGCTTGAAAGTTTGTAAATGCCACAAATGAAGAGGTTGAATGTCTGAAAGATTTATGTAGCACAACCTGTTAAGTTATTCCGTTCAACCTAAGTTGCAGTTATTCAGAGTATTACTATCAAATAAAAAAGTGCAACCTTTGCTATATACTTTGATTCACCATGAATTGGTCTGAATGAATACTTGTACTTAAATACTTAATAGTCACAGTGAATTAAATATGTAGACAGTATACATACATGGTAAGCATGCAGTATAAACTGATTTTAAATGCCATTTAAACAATTAAAAGAAGACTATGCCATCAGCACGTTATTTGTTTATCTGAAACATTACAGTTTGGCAACCATGTAAAAATAAGCTTAATAAAGAATGTTTTCAACATTGTAAATCACTTATTTGATAAGCACATTTAATTGAAATAAATTACCCTATTGTAATGCCACGCCTATCTAACTCTCACACTTCTACTTCTCAAAGTTTTTGAAACTCTCCAAGTAGTGATCATTCACTTGTTTCTGCAATTCTTCATTGGGAACACAATGCACGACATCATACTGCATCTTCAGCTTCATGGCACCTTCCATCTCCTCCATACATATAGTGGCAATACCTGAAATGAACAATTAACTTAAAGCATAAACTTTGCTCTTGAACAGGCCTAGAACTTCATATGATTTCTAATTTTCCACCTTAGCTGGACAAATGTCTAGGAAGGAAAGTACGTAGATAATGCAACTTCAGTATGTTCTTATACCTGCCACTTTTCCACCTGCCTTTTCAATGAGGTTGACAGCAGCCCACATTGTGCCACCTGTCTCTATCCACTGATCAACCACCAGCACCCTAGTACCTGAGGGAAAAAACAAACAGCGAAATAAGAGATAAATTTTGTTTTATTTTTTCATATCTAAAACAAAGAAAATTTAAGTTACTGCACATTCTACATGTAAAGAAAAATGCTTTAAATGAAATATTATTATGCTGAAAGGAACGTACAGTCCATTCCCAGACCCTACTGTACTAACTGTGGATCAATCTATCTCCAAGGGGATTCTCGCTGAATTGCAATTAACTTAAGTGGCTTAGATGTCTGTCATGCCTACTGAAGCTGCTAGGGGGTAATTAATTATCTTTAAGCAGCTTCAGTAGGCGTGCCAGACATCTATGCCACTTAAACTGAAACCCCTTGATTCTGTTAGATCGATCTAGGTATGGGAACCCACTCTTGAGTAACTTTACTTAAAAGGGAGATGCACAAACTAATGCTGCATACCAGGTGGAAATGGATTTTGCCTCATTTCTAAACTTTTCTGCTTCTTCTGGTAGTCTGTATATTCAACAGTAGTCACATCCACAGCTAAGTGACCAGCTTTTCTAATCATCAGAAATCCTTTTTTGAGGTGATAAGCGATTGCTGAACCTGAATAAAATTATTAGCCTTGAAAGTTATGACAGGCAGCTATTAAAATATCAGTAATGAGTGTTTGAATAGTATAATCCTATTCCATTGACAAATAAGAGACTGTAATGCCTTTCTTCCCTCAAAGTCTAAAAAGAACTTTGTTATAGCTTAAAATACAACAAAGCGAATGTCTCTTTGTACTCTCAGCTTACCTAGCACAAACCCTGTACCATCAATCCCTGCCACAAGATCAATTTCAGAATGATCAAAGGGTCTAATCATGTCAGCAACACAATCTTGCATAGCCTGGGATTAAACAAAGAAACCATAAATAAAAAAAATACAGTGACATTTAAAATAAGAGCATTCAATATAGAACAGAGATAAAATTTTGATTTTATACTAGTACAAGTAAGACCAATCCCCAATTGATCTTTTATTATGATAACAATTATATGGCCACAATTATACTCTACAGGTACTGGTAAAATTTTCCACAATAGTGGATGTAGTGGAACATACATATTTGTAAGCATGTATACTTATTTCAATTTATACTACCTCTGGGTTCAAGTATATAGGAGAAGGATCCAGCCATGCATATGCTGGCCCTCTCACATTTGGCATTGCCAGTGACAAGTACCAGCCAGGTTGCTTATCTTTACCTGACATTGTATCCTGAAATTTGTAAAGTAGCTTATAATTAGGTAAAACATATTTAGATTTGTGCAAAGTGCACGGTATAAAATATATATCACGATATTAGTAAAAGTTAAAATCTATTTCAAGAGTCGTTCGGTGGATTTAACTTATCAGCATGGCAACAATGTACAACATGTACATGTTCTGGTTCTACGTGCTTTTAGTTGCACTTTCACATTTTAATGAATGTCATTGACACCCTGAAATTTGAACAGTAATAGCAGTCAAAGTCTCTACTTGTGCTTCAAAAACCTTAGTTTTGCAGTGTATATGTTCAAAAGGCATACAGACTTGTAATAGCCTAGTTCGAAATCACAGCAGGTTATTGCCTGGGGGCTATCAGCTGGGCCACGGTGATACCACCCCTTGTTTGGAGAAGCTTGTTTCTGACCCAGTGCTCTTTTACTCACGGAGGAAGGAAAATCCTACTATTTACATTCTGTTATCTCGGTCTTTCTCGGTCTCTCACGGTACCTGCTTTGCACATTAGCATTCCTCTTAGCTACAACGGCGACATAAACCGCTGTCAAAGCAGAGAGGGATTGGGTACACTTCTTTTTTTTTTTCTGTCTGGAAGGTAAGCAGCAACCATGCAGGAAGTAACGCGGTACTTTACGCCGTCAGTTGTTGGAGCGCTGGTTGCAATTTTCCTGACAGTTTCTCCAAAACCGGTGGAAGATTTGCTGTCGGTTGGAGAGCAATGGCTCTCCCCAGCAATCCGAGCAGCTTTGCCGCAAAACCTGAATACTGGAGTGACGGCAATGATCGGGTTCTTTTTGGGATTCAGTTTCATGCATTTTTGGCTTTGGTTCCGTTGGCAGCTGTTAAGGATGCTGTTTTCTTACAGAGGATGGATGTATAATCCCAAGTCCGTTGCAACCAAGGTATGTGGGTGTGTCTTCATTTTAGTGGGCACATTTGTGTTTTCAAAAGATAACAGCAAGTCTGGAAATTCAATAGTTTGGAATGTGGCGTCTTTAGGAGAAACGTGTTCTTCGGTGGTTTGATTTGAAAGATAGGGGAATACTAAAGGGGAATATCGACATATCAGATACGTTAATATGAGGGGTTTTGTTATTTATGGTCTAAGTTGGAATACATGTAGATGATCAGATTTGCAAGGTAGGTAGACATAGACTATATTGTTATATATATCCAAATAATAGTTAACACTCATTTGAGGACATCGGTACTGCCCTGCATTATGTATTTGCAGGAGATAACTGATCTCATAAGGTCCAGCATGTTTATAGGTACCCAATATTGACTTAACATCGGCGTTGTGCTGTTATCAGTATATGCTAATATTAAGTCATGCATGTAAGGGGATGCACGTGTTTGCTACAGTTGTTGTGGCAGTCATGTCTGATGCTACCCATCTTGAATTTCAGAGTCTCTATATGAAGCTAACTTTCATATCAAACCATATTATACTAGTAGGCTTAGTATTTCTCCTGAGCTTTGTCCATATTTGGCATAGTGTATTTTAGTTGAGACCTGATAGGCTACTCAAAAAGCAAAATTAAATCCTTTATCATCATGTTGTTCACAAATAACAAGTTTTAAATGTTTTTTTATTTTTATTATTTTTTTTAGTGAAAGCAGTATACTAGTAAATCTTTCTATCAGCAATGTTTCAATTATATTTGTATAATTTAAGGCACTGTCTAGCCATCATGGAATTTAGGTTATCGATTGGAGCATCCTACACTGAAATGGGTTATCTCTTTCCCTTCATTTCATTGATATTTTTTTCATTGACCCGGTGTCATGTGTACGGTCCGTTCTGCGTGAACCATCCGTCCTGACCAATTGTACACGCAGCAGACGCGTGTATGAGCCGTTCTGTGAATGATCCGTTGTTATACACCAGTACTGTTATATTTGGCTAGTTCATTTCCTACCTCATTTTACATTTACAATGATGGGGATATATCTAGGTAAAATTCATGTGTTAATTGATAATTTTGATAGAGAATCAGCGTAAAATTACAGTTCGACGCATGTATGAACCTACCGTGGACGGGCCGTCGTTATTCAGCTGCTGGCCTACTATTTTTGTAATGATTTTACTAGGCTAGTGTGTTGATGTGGCCACCTGAGGGAAATCGCAGTAGAGTTGAACATCTATAAGATATATGAATACTTTCAAAAATTATGTTTGAATTTGCAGTATGTTCTCAACAGTGCATGTTTATTAAAGGCTAAGAATAGGCCTATGTATTGATGACTCGATAGAGACGGACTGTATACGTCGGAAGTCTCAGATTTGCTTGCGCTTTGTGCGCATGAGCAGAACGGATTGTTCACGCTCCGAGCGGTACACGCCACACCGGTTCATCTTATCAATTCCACCAAGATGCCAGACTGTATTGTAAAAAGTAATTTCATCACGCAAAAAAAAAAAAATACATGTATATATATATTTTTTTTCCGGGAGTGTCTTTCAGCTTGTTTTAGCATTTTAAGATGAAATGACTCCTTCTTGCTGATATAAGGTGTAAAAGAAAATATATACATGTAATTGAACCATCTTTGCATAACATGTTTTTCTTGTCCATGCCTGTGAAAATGTTTAATGCATTTTATTTCTTTTGTTGAATATTTTCAGATCTGGGCTGTATTGGTGAAATTCCATTTACAGCAGAATAGAGGCCCATATAAAACATTCAGTTTGCAGAATGTGCTGCCCAGGTTACCAGTGCCCAGCTTGGAGCAGACCTGTCACAAGTAAGATAAGCTGCATGGTAACTTTAATCTCAAGGCCCATTTATTGCCAAGTCCAGATTTCACTGTTCTCAAGGATCATATTACTATGTACATCTTAGTGCAGAATAGTTTAACTGTATATTTTAACCATAGTTTGAACAGAAAACAAAAGGCAGGGCTGTGCTCTGTTGTTTATTTAGTCATGACACATGAATTCAGACATGCATGAAATAAAGCACAGCTCAGCCTATTGATTTCTGCGTGAACATAGATTAAATCAGGTAAAGTCACTCAGTCTAGTCACATAGTTTTACACAAAAAACTGGTAGAGGGGATAATTGTCTTGACTTTGACTTGCCAATTATCTCTCTCCTCTATTTTCTGTTACGTAATCTATGTGACTTGTACTATATCTATTGCAAAGGTTAAACCAGGTGTGCTGACCTGAGGACTGGTGAATTCCTTAACCTTTGATATCAGATAATGGCGCTTGGATATTGATCATTGATTGCCAAATATAATTGCAATATATACCCAAGCTTCACCTTGACAACTAGTGATTATTCATATAAGATACAATAAAGTGTGCAAAACTGTAGGTAAAATACACACAGTTTATACAGAACTTGATGTTGTATTTCCTTTATACCACAGATATACAAACAGTAGCATGTACTGTAATTGGGAAGGGGAGGGATACTACTAGTAGAGCATGACATGCCCGTTAGCTATAATTTCAGTAAATTTAGGCCTCCAGTTCCATCCTTGGTATAATAATAAGACAAGGGCAGGTATTTAGAAAATCAATATGCTAGCACTGCAGATATATGTTTAACATGTATATGTCACATTTTCATATCAATAATTGCTGCCTTGATGTTTTAGTTATATGACATGTTGAAAGTGGATGAATTCTTAGTGTCAGAGGAGCATTGTGGTGTATGTGCTTTTGATTGCATATATACTTATGTGAAAGATATCATTTTGTAACCAAATAGCTGTAAAGAATTATGGACAATTTTGTAGTGCACTATGAAAACCCCTGTATGCTTATAAAAAAGCAACAAAGAGTGAGAAATGTGAAAGATTTTCCAGGGAAATTTGTTAGGAACTTTGTGAATTCATGTACTATTTTGAATAAAAATGAATGTAAGATAACTGTGGCACTGATATAAAATAATACTCTGAATCTATCAGTTTATTGTGAGTTTTATTTTTCTATTTTATAAGAAAACTTTCTTTGATTATCCATGAAAAATTATTTACCTTTCTTTTTATTTCAGATATTTGTTATCTGTAAAGCCTCTGCTCACTGAGGCAGAGTATGCACAGACAAAACAGGTTGTGGAGCAGTTTAAACAGAATGAGGGGCCAAAACTTCAGGGTTATTTAAAACTCAGGTAAATCCTTTCTAAATGATGAACATTTTACAAATTTATTCATGTAAATATACAAAAAGATTTCCTTCATTTTGAAATACACCCGCAATTACATTAATTTAGGACAAGTCCTATATATGATAAAAATATAAATGGAATATATTGCATTTTATTTTTTGAAATATTTCCTTTATTCTTTATTTATAAAAGGGCTTGGAATAAAGTGAACTGGTTATCTGAATGGTGGAATGACCTAGCATATTTGTATCAGAGGAGTCCTATTGCAAGTGAGTTCATTGTTAACACCATTTCCTTTTACTAGTTAACTTTTTTCTTAATAAATTAATAAAGAAAATGACCCCCGGCCCCCATGTACCTATTCAGACAGACTGTGGGGAGATGATCAAACCTTGTAAAATGTCTCTGTTTATGAATGTTTATGATCATGTCATATAAAATGTTTACTTTGCAGTATTTGTAATTTGGAAATGTGTGGTAATGCTTACTAACAGTCTATCTTCTCCATGATCCAGATGATACCCAGGTATAGGCATCTGGATCTTCCTGTTTACTTTCCTTGTGATATTTTGCAGAATTAATTTGCCTTATAGGACACTGGTATTTATATTTATGTAACATTGTGTAATGTTACATAAATTGTATGTAAATTGTGTAATAATGCGTTCTACATTTTCCTCCATCTTTCAGTTAACTCTAACTATTACTGCCTGGACAGTGAGGCACTGCCTACAAACAACCCTATTGCTAGGGCTGCCAATATGATTCATTATGGTGTGCTGTAAGTTGTGGTCTATTTCATAGAATTGATGATTTTTTTAAAGAGACCATTAACATTTAATATCATGATAAAAAAATGTTATACTGATTTTGAACCAAAAGTGAATTTTACACTGGCGTGACTAATTTACTGGTACAGTAACGGGAATATAAGTAAGTCTTTTCTTTTTAACCTGAATGCAAGTCTTGTTTACTGTATATTTTAATATAAGCAAGATTAAAATTTAAATTTTTGCAAGAAGTAATTATACTTACAATTATCTGAAATAAAACTGCTAATATTTTGATTGCAGGTTTCATGATTTAATTCACACTGAGCGTCTGCCAGTCCTATTGGCAAATGGATTGGTCCCAGTTTGTATGGATGGATACAGGTCAGTGAAGGACACTGCGTTTGCTACCAGCGCTCTTTTTTTTGTGGGGAAGGGGGGGTACAGTTTTCTGTACTGAACCAGTTTGACAGGTCTTATTATGCTATTACGCTATGTAACAGCCAGGCTGTTAAGTTTTCAATCTCTAAACTAAGCAGTACTAAAACCTGCGCTGCCTGGTATGAAAAGGGCCTAAGAGGCTGTGGTCCATTAACTATCAACTTTTTACTGCAAATTCTGGAATCTTTTTTTATTGTATTTAATATGAGCTCATAGTGTTGGGCATGCATTTGTTACATTTTTCATTATGCAGTTTTATTGTTTTTTCAAAATTTTTGTACACATGTTAATGAAACAGAGGTCAATACCCTACTTTATCTGTTCTGAATATATTTAGAACACAGCAGGCCAAGGCCATCCTTGTCATAACTCAGTCTAGGATAAAGTTGATAGGTTATCAGAAGTCATGTGAAACAGGGTGAAGTCAGGTTCCCTTAAGATAGACTACTTGATATCACTGTTTACTCATTGAGATAGTAAATGTGACCCTAAATAGGAATGTCAAGGAGTGATTTACTCTGTATTTCTCTACAAATAATTTTTGTGGAATTATCCTGAACATTTTAGTGTGGACAGACAGAGTAGGGCAAATCAATAATAATAATAATAATAATAATAATAATAATAATAATAATAATGTGATTAATTAATCAAAACTTTGCCCTTTTAATAATTGCTTTAATAAAGCCCCTTTTCCTATGCTGCATGTAACAGATGTAAGTAAATCTGTTTTTGGATATTTGATACATAATCTTTGAGCACACCTTATTTTTTCAACTTAGTTGATTTTATTTCTTTTATCCCTCATGTTTCAGATATATGTTTAATGCCTGTCGAATTCCTGGATTAGAGAAGGATACATTACACAACTTTCCAGCATCAAACTTTGTCATTGTGATTCGGTTAGTACCTCTGTGTGTTTTTGGGTCATGAGTTAATGATTATTATGTAAAGTCATATTTAAATGGCAAGAGTGTGGTAATTTGATTTCAAAATGAGAAAAAAAACATTCAGTGCTTTAGATATTCTCAATTTCAGTACAGAAGAGTGAAGTTCATTTTACACAGAACTGTTCCTACTTTGAAAATTTTTAGTGCATTGTCTCTACGTTCTCTGTAAAACAAGGATTGGGTTTATTTTCAGCAAAGGAATGTTTTTTAAACTGGATGTGTATGCTGAGAACAAGAAGGGCGTACTCACCCCCCTGACGCCTTGGGAATTACAGTGTCAGCTGGAGAAGATATATGAGATGAGTGAAGGTCAGTTGATAAAAGTGTTAGCTTAACTGATTCACTTCTCAGTGTATTTTTCATTCATTGTAGAAATAAAACAATACTTTGATAATTTACCTTAATTTTTTATTACTTTTATGTGAACTGTATCAGAGCAAGATGATGGCTGTGGTGTGGCGGCTTTTACTGCAATAAACAGAACTCAGTGGGCCAAGGTAAAGCACATACACAGTATTTTAACCTACTAGTATTTCATGGGAGGTAGATAAACATGTAAATTTTAAAAAGAGAGAGACTGGTTTTTGAGACGTAATGAAATTTCAATTTGAAAGAAATTTACTAATGGTCGTATGAAGTAATGTGCTTTCAATATACCAGTATGCTTACAAGGAAAATGATTTATAATGGAAGGATATTTCCAGCATCGCCAAGCTTTGATACAAGCCAGTCCTGTAAACAAGGCAACTCTACATGAGGTGGAGAGAGCACTCTGGCATATATCTCTTGATTGTGGGGTTCCTAAGGTAGGCTGTAGCATTGAACATAATATTGCCATAGTAAATAGACCAATTAGGAATTTGATTTTGATTTTTTGGGGGGGTTTATGCCCTATGCTGTTTTTATTTTTGATATGTTACATAAAATAATAAAACAAGATTTTTCTATTTTGTGAATGAAATACCTTCTTGTATACAAATTTATTTTTCAGGACATATCTGATCAGGCAAAAATGTTGCTATGTGGAGATGGAGTTAATAGGTAATGGAAAAATAGTGCTCTGTTTGAATTTGTTTGAATTTGGTGAATTTCTCAGCACACACTTAATTGGTTGATTGTGAAAAATGCATTTTGATTTACAGAATCTTTGTTTTCTTACATTTTATGCACTTTATTCTGCTGTGGTATAAATGGGTATGGTTATATAAAGACAGTGAATTTTTGCATTTGTGATATGATATAAATTATGCAACATGCCACAGAGCTGGTGCCTGCATAGAATTTTTTATATTGACAAATGCAGTGTCTTTGATTATATAAAAAAGAAGAAACAGTGGCATACCGGCGTTGACCTAACTATACATTTTACCGTACAAACAAAATAAAAGATGTCTTATTTTTCTAAGAGACATTTTCTTTTTTCATATTTTAACATTTAACTCTGCATTTACTGGTACTCAGTAAAAGAAGCCCATAATTAGTAAGCTAGAGGTGGATATGATATCAGACAAAATCATATGCCATTGTTTCTTGGTTCAATTGATTTGGGCATGAATGAAACTTGATGTGTGACCTCCGTCCTCCCAAAGGTGGTTTGACATATGTTTGTCAACAATCGTGTTTGCCAATGGACGTGCTGGAGGGTTTGCAGAACATGGTGCGGCTGATGCCACTGTAAGTACAAGTGAACTCGCTAAATTTCAAGACCACTGTAAACAGGAATACATTTATATCATATACTTAGCCTAAAAACGGACATTTACACTAAATGAAGTGAAATAGCTAGGCTAGAGAAGGGAGGTGAGAATCAAATTCAAGTTGCCTGTGGTCTTGAGGTGAGGTGTTCAGAAAGTTCACAATGTGTTTGTATTGTGGTGAGCTGTTGATGTGCATGTAAACTTCTGTGTGATTGGCCTTATCCTCAGATATGTTTAGTCTTTTATAGAACTTTATCTATTCTTGGTAAGCACTGTGTACAATGCTGGGCTTCTTTGTTGGCTATGATATTTAAAATGTCAATACATATTTTGAAATGATTAAAATGCCTATCTGCTTTTATGGAATTAGAAGGGCGTATTGGTTATAAAAAATTTACCAAACTTCAGTCTTTCTGTGTATGTGGCATACACTTCAGCCAATGACTCAAGAGTCTCAGTATTGTTTCTTCTATCTTCTGTAAAAAGCCTTTTAATTTTCCTACTGCACTTTCTTAAAGAGCATTGCATAGTGAATGGTGTTTAAAGATTAATTTGCAAATAATAGTAACAACCATTGATCTGTTTTGATATATAAGTTTTTATTTGGAGAAAAAAAGTCACATGCATTGCTTTTAACAAGGCACTAGTGTTACAGTGAAAAAATTCACTATGCTGCAATACTGGAGCAACTTGCTTATCTTGCTGTCGCCTCTGCATTCGCTTAAGTTGAGTTCGGATCCCATTTTGCAGAAGGCCATATTGCTCCATTGTCCAGTGTACCTTCAAGTTGTACCTGGTTGTTTTCAGGTGGTTTGACAAATCTCTAGTAATGTTTGCGTTTGCTGATGGGCGTTCTGGTGCCTTAGCTGAACATGCCACTGCTGATGCCACGGTAAATTGGAGGGTCTGCTTTGTCTTGTTTAGAATTGTTAGATTCCGGAGAAGACAGAACTGACGCGTACAATATTATACAATTATATACTTTGGCACAGGTCAACATGTTTTTTGCAGACCTAAAAATAAAATTGGTGCTGCAAAACAACATATTGATGAAAAAACAAAGATGTATAATTGTTTAATTATATAATTATTACCGAAATGGCAATGTCTTCCAAGATGACATTAAGAGTTGCAACTTTGCTGTTACTTGATATTGTCATCATCTGATTGATAAAATGTTTCCACAATCTGATTGGTTAAAAAAAAACAGTCTATGATGCTTTATTATTTTCAATCATTGTTTGGTGATGATGTCATTGGTAATTGCCATGTTTTATCCGCCCTCAAATTCATGGATAAAAGACAATAATCTATGCTTCTTATAAAATAACATATTATTTTTGAAAGCTGTGCATTTGCATTGGGGTTGCNCTATATGAATGCGCTTGCTCCAGCTGGTGGTACAATATTCGGAGGCGGTATCGCCTCTCTGATCCTCTAGTTTTTATTATTTTTTTTAGTGAAAGCAGTATACTAGTAAATCTTTTTATCAGCAATGTTTCAATTATATTTTTATAATTTAAGGCACTGTCTAGCCATCATGGAATTTAGGTTATCGATTGGAGCATCCTACACTGAAATGGGTTATCTCTTTCCCTTCATTTCATTGATATTTTTTTCATTGACCAGGTTCATCTTATCAATTCCACCAAGATGCCAGACTGTATTGTAAAAAGTAATTTCATCACGCACAAAAAAAAAAAAAATATATATATATATATATATATATATATATATATATATATATATATATATATATATATATTTTTTTTTTTTCGGGAGTTTCTTTCAGCTTGTTTTAGCATTTTAAGATGAATTGACTCTTTCTTGCTGATATAAGGTGTAAAAGAAAATATATACATGTAATTGAACCATCTTTGCATAATATGTTTTTCTTGTCCATGCCTGTGAAAATGTTTAATGCATTTTATTTCTTTTGTTGAATATTTTCAGATCTGGGCTGTATTGGTGAAATTCCATTTACAGCAGAATAGAGGCCCATATAAAACATTCAGTTTGCAGAATGTGCTGCCCAGGTTACCAGTGCCCAGCTTGGAGCAGACCTGTCACAAGTAAGATAAGCTGCATGGTAACTTTAATCTGAAGGCCCATTTATTGCCAAGTCCAGATTTCACTGTTCTCAAGGATCATATTACTATGTAGTACATCATAGTGCAGAATAGTTTAACTGTATTTTTTAACCATAGTTTGAACAGAAAACAAAAGGCAGGGCTGTGCTCTGTTGTTTGTTTAGTCATGACACATGAATTCAGACATGCATGAAATAAAGCACAGCTCAGCCTATTGATTTCTGCGTGAACATAGATTAAATCAGGTAAAGTCACTCAGTCTAGTCACATAGTTTTACACAAAAAACTGGTAGAGGAGATAATTGTCTTGACTTTGACTTGCCAATTATCTCTCTCCTCTATTTTCTGTTAATCTCCCTGACTTGTACTATATCTATTGCAAAGGTTAAACCAGGTGTGCTGACCTGAGAACTGGTGAATTCCTTAACCTTTGATATCAGATAATGGCGCTTGGATATTGATCATTGATTGCCAAATATAATTGCAGTATATACCCAAGCTTCACCTTGACAACTAGTGATTATTCATATAAGATACAATAAAGTGTGCAAAACTGTAGGTAAAATACACACAGTTTATACAGAACTTGATGTTGTATTTCCTTTATACCACAGATATACAAACAGTAGCATGTACTGTAATTGGGAAGGGGAGGGATACTAGAGCATGACATGCCCGTTAGCTATAATTTCAGTAAATTTAGGCCTCCAGTTCCAACCTTGGTATAATAATAATAAGTCAAGACTAGGGCAGATGTATTTAGAAAATCAATATGCTAGCACTGCAGATACATGTATAACATGTATGTGTCGCATTTTCTTATCAATAATTGCTGCCTTGATGTTTTAGTTATATGACATGTTGAAAGTGGATAAATTCTTAGTGTCTTTTGATTGAAAATATGCTTGTATGAAAGATATCATTTTGTAACCAAATAGCTGTAAAGACTTATGGATAATTTTGTAGTGAACTATGAAAATCCCGTATGCTTATAAAAAAGCAACAAAGAGTGATAAATGTGAAAGATTTTCCAGGGAAATTTGTTAGGAACTTTGTGAATTCATGTACTATTGTGAATAAAAATGAATGTAAGATAACTGTGGCACTGATATAAAATAATACTCTGAATCTATCAGTTTATTGTGAGTTTTATTTTTCTATTTTATAAGAAAACTTTCTTTGATTATCCATGAAAAATTATTTACCTTTCTTTTTATTTCAGATATTTGTTATCTGTAAAGCCTCTGCTCACTGAGGCAGAGTATGCACAGACAAAACAGGTTGTGGAGCAGTTTAAACAGAATGAGGGGCCAAAACTTCAGGGTTATTTAAAACTCAGGTAAATCCTTTCTAAATGATGAACATTTTACAAATTTATTCATGTAAATATACAAAAAGATTTCCTTCATTTTGAAATACACCCACAATTACATTAATTGAGGACAAGTCCTATATATGATAAAAATATAAATGGAATATATTGCATTTTATTTTTTGAAATATTTCCTTTATTCTTTATTTATAAAAGGGCTTGGAATAAAGTGAACTGGTTATCTGAATGGTGGAATGACCTAGCATATTTGTATCAGAGGAGTCCTATTGCAAGTGAGTTCATTGTTAACACCATTTCCTTTTACTAGTTAACTTTTTTCTTAATAAATTAATAAAGAAAATGACCCCCGGCCCCCATGTACCTATTCAGACAGACTGTGGTAGTCCGGTTGCTTAGGGCAAAAAAATTGCCAAATCGTGACACGGCGGATAAAAGCACCAAATTTTGCATGTGGGTACCTTTTGACAAACTAAACCAAATTAGAGCCGTAGCCCACGGAAAAAAATTACCGTTTGGCCAAAAAAGCCAAAATGGCCGCCAATTTGTGAAATTCTGTAGAAATATATACATACCTATGTTTATTTTTTATCATATTAAGTATTTTCTCAATGATTTCCACATCCTTATTACCCATATAATGCATATGTGTCAGATAACAAACAAGTGTCCTTGGACTTTTTGAAAAATCCAAGATGGCCGCCATATGGCATAGGAATACTACTGTAGATCATGTACACGGGTTTTCAACTAACTAATGCCAACTAGGAAGATGCATTGCCCACTATCTAATTGTTTCTTATTACACAAATAATATATTTGTGGTGAGTAACTAACCTTTATTCTCAGGCATTTCGAGAAAAATCCAAGATGGCTGCCATATCAAAGGAATACTAGTATACACATAGGGCTTCTTCTGCCGTGGAGATATAATATTAATTGATAAGTTAGGTTTGTATTTGAGTATTTTCCACATCTTTTTAATTCACATAATATATATATGATGAGAATGTTATGTGTATCCTTTTTGAAAAGAAAATAAAACAAAATGGCTGCCAAATTAGCCATAGAAGGTGGGGTTCAGTTAATACCTGCGGTAGATAGGCTAACATATAAAATGAAGCGGAATTCAGTTGTCATTCTGTTATTTTTTAGTATTATTATCCCATGATACATATCTGTAAGGTAATTAATGTCTATATTTTATCATTTTGGGGAAGTCCAAGATGGTCTTCTTTTCCCCATAGGAAAACTGGTGCATTAGATTTTATACGTACTTCTAAGGCAAATGAGGGTAATCATGATATTTTGTCAAAATACTTAAGGGTACACACTTGTTACCCACCAGATAGATATCTCAAAGTCCAAAAAGAATGTGGGAAATACCGAGAAACAAAATTAATGTCTCATTGAACCCAATGTCTCTCTGGCAATAGTTGAATGTACTATTCCTATTGTGAATAGCAGCAATCTTGAATTTTCTCAAATGCGCAAGACACACTTGCTACACACCAGATTTATATAGAGTAAGGTTAATAAGGATGTCAACATGTTTGAACATCAAACGGCTTTATTTCATGTTGGAATCAATGTCTGAACTGTTCCACTAAATGACACCTATTTGCATTTGAATGATATATTCCTATGATAACTTGCAGCTATCTTGGGTTTTCTCCGAATAATACCCAAGGATACATACACTTTTTACACACACATAGACCTTCTTAAGGATAAATAGGATATGAAAAACATTTAAAAACGATCTAAAGTTAACTGCATTTAAATTGTACTCAGTGTCTCTGGCACTATTCTCTGGCACTATTTGATTATATGTTCGAATATTCTAATGACAAAAGGCAGACATCTTGAATTTTTTCCAGAATACTCAAAGATACACACATGCTACAGACCAGGTATACATCATAGGAATAATAATAAATGGAATGAAAAACATAAATTAGTTTTAAAACAAACCCATGGTAATGTAATTGTATAATAAACCATATGCCTCTCTAGCAGTAATTGAAACCCATCCATTTGTATTCCTATGTCAAATTGTAGCTATCATGGATTTTCTCAGAATATCCAAGGATGTACACTGTTTACCCACCAGATATATATCATAGGACTAATAAGGATGGACAAAACTTGATAAGCAAACACAATTTCACCCTGGTAGTAGATGAAAGGCCATGGATGTGCAGTTGTAATTACCGTGGTATTCCTATGGCCAATGACGGCCATCTTGGATTTTCTCAAAAAGATCAAATATGCACATTTATTACCTGCTAGATATGTATCACAGTGTAATTATTATGTGTAAAACACTAAAATAATAAACTAAATTTGATAGTGAATTAGCTGGCATTAGTTCCAACCCTTTGTAATACTAGAAGTATTCCTAAGACATATGGCGGCCATCTTGGATTTTCTCAAAATGCCCAGGAATACATGTTAGTTACTCACCACATGCATATTGTGTGGATGGAAAGGATGTGGAAAACACCCAGAAACAAACTTAATTTGATAGTGGAAAATGAATCTTTCCAGTTGCCATTAGTTGAATCCCCCGCATACTAGAATTCCTGTGGCACATGGCAGCCATCTTGGATTTTCCAAAATGCCCAAGAACACTTCGTAGTTACTCACCGCAAACACCGGTAACAAAAATCTGAGAAACAGACTTAATTTGATAGTGGATAACGTATCTTTCTAGCTGATATTAGTTGTGCACTAGTATTCCTATGGCTGTTTCTAATGGCATATGACAGCCATCTTGGATTTTTTCAAAAATTCCAAGGGAACTTGTTTGCTATCTGCCATATATGAATAAAATGGGTAATAAGGGCGTGGAAAACTCTGAGAAAATAAATTATTTGATAAAAATCAACATAGGTATGTACACATTTCTATAGAATTCCATAAATTGGCGGCCATTTTGGATTTTTTGGCCAAACGGTAATTTTTTTTCCGTGGGCTACGGCTTTTATTTGATTTAGTATGTCAAAAGGTACCCACATGCAAAATTTAGTGCTTTTATCCGCCGTGTCACGATTTTTTCCTTAAGCCACCGGACTATGGGGAGATGATCAAACTTTGTAAAATGTCTCCGTTTATGAATGTTTATGATCATGTCATATGAAATGTTTACTTTGCAGTATTTGTAATTTGGAAATGTGCGGTAATGCTTACTAACATTCTGTCTTCTCCGTGATCCAGATGATACCCAGGTATAGGCATCTGGATCTTCCTGTTTACTTTCCTTGTGATATTTTGCAGAATTAATTTGCCTTATGGACACTGGTATTTATATTTATGTAACATTGTGTAATGTTACATAAATTGTATGTAAATTGTGTAATAATGCGTTCTACATTTTCCTCCATCTTTCAGTTAACTCTAACTATTACTGCCTGGACAGCGAGGCACTGCCTACAAACAACCCTATTGCTAGGGCTGCCAATATGATTCATTATGGTGTGCTGTAAGTTGTGGTCTATTTCATAGAATTGATGATTTTTTTAAAGAGACCATTAACATTTTGTATCATGATAAAAAATGTTATACTGATTTTGAACCAAAAGTGAATTTTACACTGGCGTGACTAATTTACTGGTACAGTAACGGGAATATAAGTAAGTCTTTTCTTTTGAACTTGAATGCAAGTCTTGTTTACTGTAGTCTATATTTTAATATAAGCAAGATTAAAATTTTAATTTTTGCAAGAAGTAATTATACTGACAATTATCTGAAATAAAACTGCTAATATTTTGATTGCAGGTTTCATGATTTAATTCACACTGAGCGTCTGCCAGTCCTATTGGCAAATGGATTGGTCCCAGTTTGTATGGATGGATACAGGTGAGTGAAGGACACTGTGTTTGCTACCAGCGCTCTTTTTATGTGGGGGAGGGGTGGGGGGGGGTGCAGTTTTCAAACCAGTTTGACAGGTCTTATTATGCTATTACGCTACATAACAGCCAGGCTGTTAAGTTTTCAATCTCTTAACTTACGCAGTACTAAAACCTGTGCTGCCTGGTATGAAAAGGGCCTAAGAGGCTGTGGTCCATTAACTATCAACTTTTTACTGCAAATTCTGGAATCTTTTTTATTGTATTTAATATGAGCTCATAGTGTTGGACATGCAATTGCTACACTATTCATTATGCAGTTTTATTGTTTTTTTTCAAAATTTTGTACACATGTTAATGAAACAGAGGTCAATACCCTACTTTATCTGTTCTGAATATATTTAGAACACAGCAGGCCAAGGCCATCCTTGTCATAACTCAGTCTAGGATAAAGTTGATAGGTTATCAGAAGTCATGTGAAACAGGGTGAAGTCAGGTTCCCTTAAGATAGACTACTTGATATCACTGTTTACTCATTGAGATAGTAAATGTGACCCTAAATAGGAATGTCAAGGAGTGATTTACTCTGTATTTCTCTACAAATAATTTTTGTGGAATTATCCTGAACATTTTTAGTATGGACAGACAGAGTAGGGCAAATCAATAATAATAATAATAATAATAATAATAATGATGATGATGATGATGATGATGATGTGATTAATTAATCAAAACTTTGCCCTTTTAATAATTGCTTTAGTAAAGCTCCTTTTCCTATGCTGCATGTAACAGATGTAAGTAAATCTATTTTTGGATATTTGATACATAATCTTTAAGCACACCTTATTTTTTCAACTTAGTTGATTTAATTTCTTTTATCCCTCATATTTCAGATATATGTTTAATGCCTGTCGAATTCCTGGATTAGAGAAGGATACATTACACAACTTTCCAGCATCAAACTTTGTCATTGTGATTCGGTAAGTACCTCTGTGTGTTTTTGTGTCATGGGTTAAAGCAATAATAACTCTTTGTTTCGGCCAAAAAAAGAATTTTCCTGGAGTAAACAACAATTTTCCCATACTTACCAATGGTTAATGAATCCATTTTTACATTCAAAGTTAGTCCCTGGTTTTTTTCTAAAAAGTTTGGTTTTTTGTTAAAATCTCTTAAGAGATTTTAACAGAGTATAGACATCAATGGAGGTCACGTGGTCTAAAGACAAGTTCAAATATCAGGATAAAAGCTATAACTGCTGTTTTTGTGGTAAAACAGAATATATTATATTTCTATGAGTTATTCACAATGTTTTTATTGTGAAATATAGATCTCATACGAAGAGTTATTATCCCTTTAATGATTATTATGTAAAGTCATATTTAAATGGCAAGAGTGTGATAATTTGACAATGATTTCAAAATGAGAAAATATTCAGTGCTTTAGATATTCTCAATTTTAGTACAGAAGAGTGAAGTTCATTTTACACAGAATTTGAATTTGGCCTACTTTGAAAAATTTTAGTGCATTGTCTCTACGTTCTCTGTAAAACAAGGATTGGGCTTATTTTCAGCAAAGGAATGTTTTTTAAACTGGATGTGTATGCTGAGAACAAGAAGGGCGTACTCACCCCCCTGACGCCTTGGGAATTACAGTGTCAGCTGGAGAAGATATATGAGATGAGTGAAGGTCAGTTGATAAAAGTGTTAGCTTAACTGATTCACTTCTGAGTGTATTTTTCATTCATTGTAGAAATAAAACAATACTTTTTGATTACTTTTATGTGAACTGTATCAGAGCAAGATGATGGCTGTGGTGTGGCGGCTTTTACTGCAATAAACAGAACTCAGTGGGCCAAGGTAAAGCACATACACAGTATTTTAACCTATTTCATGGGAGGTATATAAACATGTAAATTTTAAAAAGAGAGAGACTGGTTTTTGAGACTTAATGAAATTTCAATTTGAAAGAAATTTACTAATGGTCTTATGAAGTAATGTGCTTTTAATATACCAGTATGCTTGCAAGGAAAATGATTTATAATGGAAGGATATTTCCAGCATCGCCAAGCTTTGATACAAGCCAGTCCTGTAAACAAGGCAACTCTACATGAGGTGGAGAGGGCACTCTGGCATATATCTCTTGATTGTGGGGTTCCTAAGGTAGGCTGTAGCACAGAACATAATATTGCCATAGTAGATGGACCAATTAGAAATTTGATTTTGATTTTTTTTGGGGGGGGTTATGCCCTATGCTGTTTTTATTTTTGAAATGTACATAAAATAATTAAACAAGATTTTTCTATTTTGTGAATGAAATACCTTCTTGACAAGCACCTTCTTGTATACAAATTTATTTTTCAGGACATATCTGATCAGGCAAAAATGTTGCTATGTGGAGATGGAGTTAATAGGTAATGGAAAAATAGTGCTCTGTTTGAATTTGTTTGAATTTGGTGAATTTCTCAGCACACACTTAATTGGTTGATTGTGAAAAATGCATTTTGATTTACAGAAACTTTGTTTTCTTACATTTTATGCACTTTATTCTGCTGTGGTATAAATGGGTATGGTGATATAAAGACAGTGAATTTTTGCATTTGTGATATGATATAAATTATGCAACATGCCACAGAGCTGGTGCCTGCATAGAATTTTTTATATTGACAAATGCAGTGTCTTTGATTATATAAAAAAGAAGAAACAGTGGCATACCGGCGTTGACCTAACTATACATTTTACTGTACATACAAAATAAAAGATGTCTTATTTTTCTAAGAGACATTTTTTTTTTTATATTTTAACATTTAACTCTGCATTTACTGGTACTCAGTAAAAGAAGCCCATAATTAGTAAGCTAGAGGTGGATATGATATCAGACAAAATCTTATGCCATTGTTTCTTGGTTCAATTGATTTGGGCATGAATGAAACTTGATGTGTGACCTCCGTCCTCCCAAAGGTGGTTTGACATATGTTTGTCAACAATCGTGTTTGCCAATGGACGTGCTGGAGGGTTTGCAGAACATGGTGCGGCTGATGCCACTGTAAGTACAAGTGAACTCGCTAAACTGCAAGACCACTGTAACCAGGAATACAGTCATATCATATACTTAGCCTAAAAACGGACATTTACACTAAATGAAGTGAAATAGCTAGGCTAGAGAAGGGAGGTGAGAATCAAATTCAAGTTGCCTGTGGTCTTGAGGTGAGGTGTTCAGAAAGTTCACAATGTGTTTGTATTGTGGTGAGCTGTTGGTGTGCATGTAAACCTCTGTGTGATTGGCCTTATCCTCACATATGTTTAGTCTTTTATAGAACTTTATCTATTCTTGGTAAGCACTGTGTACAATGCTGGGTTTCTTTGTTGGCTATGATATTTAAAATGTCAATACATATTTTGAAATAATTGAAATGCATATTTGCTTTTATGCCATTAGAAGGGCGTATTGGTTATAGAAAATTTACCAAAGTTCAATCTTTCTGTGTATGTGGCATAGCCAATGACTTAAGAGTCTCAGTATTGTTTCTTTTATCTTCTGTAAAAAGCCTTTTAATTTTCCTACTGCACTTTCTTAAAGAGCATTGCATAGTGAAAGGTGTTTAAAGATTAATTTGCAAAGACTACTGACAACCATTGACCTGTTGTGATATTTAAACTTTCATTTGGAGAAAAAAAAGTCACATGCATTGCTTTTAACAAGGCACTAGTGTTACAGTGAAAAATTTCACTATGCTGCAATACTGGAGCAACTTGCTTATCTTGCTGTCGCCTCTGCATTCGCTTAAGTTGAGTTCAGATCCCATTTTGCAGAAGGCCATATTGCTCCATTGTCCAGTGTACCTTCAAGTTGTACCTGGTTGTTTTCAGGTGGTTTGACAAATCTCTAGTAATGTTTGCGTTTGCTGATGGGCGTTCTGGTGCCTTAGCTGAACATGCCACTGCTGATGCCACGGTAAATTGGAGGGTCTGCTTTGTCTTGTTTAGAATTGTTAGATTCCGGAGAAGACAGAACTGACGCGTACCATATTATACAATTATATACTTTGGCACAGGTCAACATGTTTTTTGCAGACCTAAAAATAAAATTGGTGCTGCAAAACAACATATTGATGAAAAAACAAAGATGTATAATTGTTTAATTATATAATTATTACCGAAATGGCAATGTCTTCCAAGATGACATTAAGAGTTGCAACTTTGATGTTACACGAAATTGCCGTCATCTGATTGATAAAATGTTTCCAATCTGATTGGTTAAAAAAAATGTCTATGATGCTTTATTATTTTCAATCATTGTTTGGTGATGATGTCATTGGTAATTGCCATGTTTTATCCGCCCTCAAATTCATGGATAAAAGACAATAATCTATGCTTCTTATAAAATAACATTATTTTTGAAAGCTGTGCATTTGCATTGTGGGTTGCTATTTATAGTAATTGGACAATTGGTGTTTTTTTTTGTAGGGTGGGTTGGGGGGGTGTAAGATGATGTTGTACCTTTAATTTAGTTTGTCATTGTAATCTCATTTTTGTCTTCTTTCATTGTTGTTGGAGAAATTTCATCTGGCCTTATGCAGTTCTTTAGTTCGTTTGCATGTAGTTACCCTTGTCTTTTGAATTGTTTCCCCTGACTCTTAATGTTTCTTTTTCCTTTTGAAATAGCAAACAATGCACTCTAAATTTAGTTTTTAGTTTTGTAGTTATGAAAAAATAATTTTGCATAAATTTTAAGTATCCATTGCCCATTCAGTTTTTAAACTGTACACATGTTTCATAAATATTTGATGTGATTTTATATTTAAATCTTAATAGCAAAAATTAAATCATTTCATACACCAGTAAATGCACAGATCTATTCACTATATTTCTAGACTTCAAATTATTTTCTAATTTTAGCTCTTTTCACGACTTTGGGAATATGCACAGTTCAGGGAGAGGTATACTAAAAATGGTGATGTAGAAAAGCAGGAGGGGGAAACTGTAAGATATCTTAAGCCTCCTAAAAGGTAAATGATTTTATTAATTAAAGTTCAGTGATTTCTTATTTAGGCTATGATACTTTATTCTTTTTGCATATAGCTATGAGAACATTATATACATTTTATATTTAAATAGATTTATTGCATTATAAACAAGCTTGTTATCAGTTTATAGGTTCCAAATGTTTTAAACAAGAGCACTTCAAGATTTAAAGGATGAATTCTTAGATGACTATTTTATTTAGTTAAAAATTAAAAAAAAAGTGAAATCAAGCCTCTAACTTTTTTGTCTAGGCTACAATGGGATGTAACTGGATTTGAAGATTCGATAACCAGTGCTCTTGCTGAGCACAAAGCAAATGTAAGACACTCCTACAGTCCTACTTTGATGTGGTGTGTAAAATATCACAAAGACAGTTTGAATAAAATGTGCAGAAAAAATTTCTCATGTTAACATTAAGGTTATGACTATTCATTTACTTAAATAATTGAAATTTACTAGCTAAGCAACTAAGGTTTGTGAAAATTTGTTAAATTATAGGTTGATGATTTGGACATGTTTGTTCAGCCATCAGATTATGGTAAAGGCTGGATCAAGAAGAAACATATCAGTCCAGATGGATATCTACAGGTATGAAGGCACCTCTGATACCGAGAACATGCAAGACAATGTATACCCATCTATAAGCTGTAAAACATTTATATTTGGCCTAAGGCAAATTACTTTTGAAATATTTTGCGACAATGCATTTATAGTTCTTATTTTATAACTTTTTGAAGAATGTATTGAAAAATTTACAGACAGTAGTTTTAGGCATAATTTGCTCATGTCACTTATTCACATGAAAAAATTATGAAATTATTATTATTGATTTCAGATGGCCATGCAGCTTGCTTACTTCAGATTGCATGGAGATACACCAAAAACGTACGAATCTGCATCAACAAGGTAAAGTACTTCATTCAGATATTTTGTGCACAGCAGACAACATTTTCATCTTCAATGATAAGTGCACATGTACATGTATGCACACTTTTTGCCATGCACACAATTAAACCTATTTCCCTTTCAGAATGTTTGCCCTTGGTCGCACAGAGACTATTCGCCCTATATCTGAGCACTCTGTCAGTTTTGTGAAAGCTATGGACAACCCCAGCGCAACCTCTGATACCAAGATAAATCTCCTAAAGAAGGCTGTCCATTATCAAACTCAGTACAAGATTGATGCTACCAATGGAGAGGGCTGTGATCGTCACTTGTTGGGACTTTACTGTGTTTCCAAAGAGCTAGGAATGCCTGTGCCTTCACTGTATATGGATAAGGTACATGTTGCCATTTTGGATATTCATCTTAGTGCGCTGTAATTGTAATTCTAAAGTTGTTGTTCAAAAGAATTGTCGTGTTTAATTACTTTGAATAATAATGTGCACAGTCTGTATATACTGAACAGATAAACTCAAATTTATAACAGCTGAGACTTAAACAGTTTGATAAATTTTGGAGATTTATTGCAGAAAAAAAATTTTAACTCAGAGCCAGAAAGACAGGTCTTTTGAGAAATACTTTCACCAGCATTTACAAGCAAGCATTTACATCTAAACATAGCAATTCCTTTTAAAAGGTGAAACATTTCTGTTATTGCTTGCTTATTAACATTATTCATATATGTTGTAGGCATGGCAGATCCCAGAGCAACTGTCCACCTCCCAGACACCCACCAAGATCACCCACCAGTGGTCTCTGGAGACCTGCTCTCGTGGTGGAGGGTTCGGACCTGTGTCTCCTGAAGGATACGGAGTGTCCTACATCATTGTAGGGGAAGACTTGGGTAGGTTATCCTGGAATTCAGTGCCATTTGTTCGTTAACTTTTCTGTAAATTTATTCCAAGTTTCAACTCAAGCTCTGTTCTCTCTCCATTGTGATTCAGTGTAAATGTGTAAGAACTGATGCAGACTGAAATATGCTTGCCACCACCCTCTGACTTCCAGTCTAGCTGTCCTTCTGTTCATATAACTGTCTTTTGAACATTGTTTTTTTAATGGTAATTGATTTTATAAAAACTAAGTTACTAAGTTTAAGGGCCAGTAAGTTAACTTTCTACATTAGTTGTATATACATATAGCCTAGTTTGATGAAAGGCAAAAGTAATTCAGCCTTCAAATTTCTGTTTTCAGTGAACTTCCACATCTCCAGCAGGAAGTCCTGTCGTGCCACCAGCTCTGCCAAGATGGCCAAGGCTATTGTTCAAGCAATGGCCGACATGAGAGACTTACTGGTCTAATACTACAAATATTCAAGCCTCTACAATGAGTAGGCTTCAGTGCGGTGATGTGTTAATTTAGACTATTTCAATCTCTACTAAGAAGGAATTGAGTCTTTTTTGACCAGTCATATATTACCTTTTTTAATGTTGTAGTGCTAAATAATATATATTTTATTTGGGAATGAGATGCAATTTGGGAGCTAATTTTTAAGATGGAGCTTTAATCATGATGTTAATCTTAAGGATGAGAACATTCTCCAAAACAAAGTTATTTTTACAGTTGCTGTACATGTTAGTGTGTTTTAATGCTGTGGACTACTTTTACCTTTGAATGAGAAATTTCTCATCATTTTTTTTTGTGCTATTATATATTATTCAAGACTTAATAGTTCATGCAACTGACATTTCAGGATGTGAACTTAAATGATATGGGATTTTAAGTCAATTACAAAATTTTATACAAGTTTTGGATAAATGCTGTTTGTTGTAGCTACCTAGTTAGAGCAATGTACTGAGTGTCATGTACAAGTTGTGACAGTTTAATGTATTGTAATTAAGAAATATTGATTCACTTTGCAAAGCATGCCTTAATTTTGGATTTTTTTCTTTGAATCTGAAAGGGATCTTTTTTCTCTGTTGGCTAGTCAGAACACAGCTTTAAAAAAAAAGTCAGATTAATAGTGATATATTAAGTTTGGATGTTTATATTGTATGATTGTTGTACAATAAAACAGAAGAATAATATAACAGATGACTTACATAATTGCTTCATTATTATTATTATTTATTTTTTTATCCCAAACCACTTGATGCTAAAATTTTGATTTAATTGCCTTTGTTTTAACTTCATAGATTCAGCAGCTTTTTAGAGTATGGTTTAGAATTTTCTTTTCCTTTTTTAAATATAGATTTTCCTGTAGTTTTGCTGTTAAATCAATAAATTTGTGTGGTTAACCATTCAAGAAACACAAAGAGAGTATACACATGGTATCTTCACAATTTTTTTATTATGAATATGGTGATTACGTCCCTTTTTGTCCCCATAGTCAAACACCCCTCCTGCACTCTTACTACCCCACACTATATCATTTCCCATTGGTATAAATGCTGCATACATAAAAATAATTTTTAAATTCTGCCATAAGAACCGGGACAAGAAAGTGAAATTTTATTTCTCTGTTGTTTACTCACAACCCAAATATTAGTATCCCTCAAATGCACAAGTTCAAGTACTTGCTTGAATCTACCACCTTTAAAATTTATCAATACTTTACATTTTCACCAATAAGACAACTGAGACAGGCAAGAATTGTTTTCTGTTACATGGTTTATTCAAGTGCCTGAAGACTCAGGACTCTTCTACCGTATCTATAACTATCTCTCACTCTCTCAGTCTGTCAGTCCTCTCTCTGTGGCNGTAAGTAGAACCAGTGAATACTTTAGTTACATCGGTCCTCTAGTCTCTCAAGATGAATTATTTTCATGTATTTCCATTTGCATAACATGATGGTATATTTTTGCAACTTACATTAATTTTTTTAGGTTGGCATGGTCTCACTCCACTCCATAAAGCATGCCTGAGAACAGAGCCATACATGATCAGTCTCTTGCTGCAGACTGGAGCAGACCCCAATGCCAAGTCAGACTTTGATGAAACTCCACTGCACTATGCTTGCAAACAGGGCATCCCCAACATTATCTACCTATTGTTGCAGTATGGGGCAGACCTGATTGCTGTGGATAAGTTAGGCAGGGGGGCCATGCACCATGCCGCTGTCAATGGAAATGTGTAAGACACTGATTTTTGTCTTCATAAAAAGATAATGCATGAATAAAATAGGAGAATTTTAAATGACCCTCTTAAACTTTTTAAACGTAACAAAGTTATTGCATCATCATGATTAGTTTTTTGGGGGTAGTGGTAAACAGAGAAGGTGCATAGGTATACAGAAAATTTAAACATTTATATGGAACACAATTCTGTTTTAACCATACAAATTCATTGAGAATGATTCTCTTTCGTGTTGATTAATCTCAGCTTATTTTTTCACAGCCTAGCTATGCACTACCTGCATGAAGTTCATGGTCTTGCCTATGATGTTCAGGACAATGAATTAAAATCTCCACTGCATATAGTGAGCTCCCACGCACATTTGGATGCAGTAAAGTACCTTTTGAAATCTAATGTAAATAAACTTGGCTTTTTCCATTAAATTGACAATTTATCAATATGCGTTATAAAATCATATCATTTCTTCTCTTTATGCTTCAACAGTCATTTCAACTTTTGTCTCCAGCTTTGACAGATTTTTTGATTTGTATTTCACATATGCCAAATTAAATACAAATTTGAGTTACGTATAATAATTTTTAACTGGTTTAAAGAGAGATTTGTTTTTGAAATTATTTTCTCATTGTTCTTACTGTGCATAATTGCTCATATTTTCAGAGATGTAACCCCCATTTGACAGATGTGTATGGGAACAATTCTCTTCACTTTGCCTGCAAACATGGCCATGCCCAGATAGCATGGCAGTTACTGGTGGCAGGAGGCTGTAGGTTGCTGCATTCCAAAAATAAAGATGGGCATACTCCAATTGAAGTAGCAAGAGCTCAGAAAACATCCAAGTGAAGTATTACTTTATTTACAGATAGTATGAAATTATTATTATTATTTTTTTATTTCTATTATTATTATTTTTTTGAGGCATAAGCAGCATTCAACTTTTGGTCATTTTATTGAATGTAATATTATTGTTTGGTTATATTTTTATATTATTGTATCTCTGAAAAATAATTGCTGATTCATTTTATGTCAGTGAAGATACGATTCATGATTCATTTCAAATTAAACAATATAATGTATCTTTCTATATTATCAGGTCAACAGAGTGTTCTCGCCTGTTATCTTATTACATGTACATAAAGGATGAGGACTACAGACCAGCAGGACCCACTGTGCCCTGGCTGTGGCACCTGACCATGCCAGCTGTGCTGTATATTGTGGCCCTGGTGCTAGCTTATCTATTACAGGACCACACCGGAAGTCAAGGGCTGATAGTGTTTGGGGAATTGGCTTTATTTATTTTTCTGTCCACTAAACATCAGCATAGAATGCTACATGTGTGTAGGTATGTGTATGATGCATTTCATATTTTGTATTTGGACAAAATGGCTTTGTGTTATAGTATGCTGTAGTATTACCATGTAAGGTTAGGATACATGCACGCTGTAACGGTTGTGTTTTTTATATGCTGTGATAGGATTGAGTGTCAGAATTTAAGAACAGTTGGTATTTTGAGAACATATTTGTACTGCATACTGTGTCTAAAAAGAGCACATTTTCTGTATGTATTTTTGTACTATACAAAGTGATTACAAAAGATTTATTATCATGGTATGTAAGTACTAGAAAAATAATTAGAAAAGAGTTATTGTCACGTTATTTTTCTTCATTTCAGATGGCCAAATCCTTTGTTTGCAGGCGGTTTTGCAGCTGGTTTATTCATCACATTGGCTTGCTACTACCTCCAAATGTTTAGTTGTATCCTCTGTTATTGAAAAAGAAGACATTTTTGTGATCACTTTCTACAATAATTAATCACTTAATTAAAGTTTCATTAATTATCTATATTTTCTGATACAGTATTTCGTTATTTATACTTATAAAAATGACTTTAGGTAAATGGTAAATTTATTCTTGATTTTGCATTTGAATAATGAGTAAAAAGTACCATCTTGTCAGTAGTGTCTTGAAGTGTAAACAATCTTCTTAACACTGCATAGATGTCTCTCATCATCATTACTTGAACCTTCTGTCAATATCTCTCACTGTTGTCATGCTGTATATGTACTGGAGACTTTGGACTCGTGATCCTGGTAAGTGATATTTTTAAGCAGTAACATTGTTAGAATTTCCAGCAAATTACCTTGCATTGGTATAAAAAGACAGAAAAAGAATAAAAAATTGACCTACATAGATTCTTACAACTTACAAATAGTCTATAATATTTTGTTTTGAAAGAGTTACATATTTGTTTAATCATCACAAAGTTAACAGTGACTGATGTATTTTTGTTAAAACTAAATTTTCAGTTGTAAATTTGAACTGTCATAAATTGGTTGCCTTGCAGGTGTTGTCCGCGTCTCTGCCTTGAAGCCCAATAATGGTGGATATTACAGTGTGAGAGATGTAGCTACAGGACAGGTGTCCCCTGAAATGTTTTGTACAACATGTGAGGTAGGTTCACTCACAGGATAAAATGCCTCATTTAAGGCTGGCCTAGAGAATTTTTGGATGGGAAAGAAAATTGTGCTCCTTGATTTTTTCCTTTTATGAAAATAAAAACCGATTTTTCCACAACTAATTTGTGATGACATTAAAAGGTAAGTGATTTAAATTGCATGTGTAGGTAATTTTATAGAAAAAATAACAGATTTTATCAAACTTATTAAAGATATAATAAGTAATATATTTTAACAATATAATTTAAAAGGAAAAGTTGACATACTTTGCAACTGAATTTGTGACAGATGTACAAGTATATGATGGCTATTTTCTATCAATACAATTCCAGATTGTTAGACCGTTGAGGAGCAAGCATTGTAAGCTTTGTGAGCAGTGTATCCAGGGCATGGATCACCACTGCCTGTTCTTACTGCGCTGTGTGGCCAAGTACACCCACAGACTCTTCATTCTCTTCATCATAACTGTGCTGTGCAGTCAGGTCCTGTTCCTGGTCCAGGTCTATCTCTACTACCAAGCTGTGTTACCCAGTGTAACAAGCAATGACTGGTTCATATATGTTAAATCTGCCTTCAATCAACATGCGTGGGTGCTTAGCTTATCTGTCTTGAACTTAGGATCTATACTTTGGGGACTGAAATTGCTCAAATTTCAACTTAGTTTAGTCTCCAAAGGATACACTACAGTTTTCCAGCCTCATTTTCAAAAAGGATGTGGACTGTCAAAGTTAGAAATGGTATTGAATGTGATATATTTCATAGCTGGAAAAGGTTTATATCTGAAAGATCCACTTTTTGATGTTTGACTATATTTAATGAGAATTTGTTCATTAGAGTTACATCTGTAAAGGTTAAAAGTTCTATTTTAAGTTACTTTTAGCATAATGTTATGTACTTAGATAGGCTTGCATTCCTAGTATTGTCTTCCAAGATGAATACTTATTTGAGGAAATGTCAGTGATTGGTCACCTTTTTGCTAAGCATTCATTACAGATACGCCAACTTGAGAAAATTATTTGAGCAATATTACTTAAATGGTGCTTTTTGTGTAATATAAACAGATAATGGGCAACCACAGGAAAGTTTTGTGAAATGTTGCTTTTATGTCATTTGAAAAGTGGTGTTTCGTTAGGAATTCAGTACCAATACTGGAAAACTCCATGCTTCTACCATCCACAAATTTTTCCTAAAGGATATTTATTATTACCTATGTGCTTGAAAAATGGTGCCCCCCCCCCCCTTTTTTTTACAGTAAACATTTTCATATGGGAGACATATTGGTCAGTTTATATGTTGTTATTCTAATGTGGCTGAGTCACATTTAGTGTTCCATTTATCAGATACAACCAATGATATATAATTTTTATTTTATAATATTTATATATGTTTTGATTAATTTTTGTTAAATGTGGTTTTAATACTGTCATTTAGTTCTGTGTTTATACATAAAGATTCTAACAATTACAGTATTGAACCTACCTTTTACTACTTTAGTGCAGGTGTGTTCAAACAAGACAGTAATTGGTCCTATGGCTGTTGATTTGCATGAACCTTTCTGCTGACTTGATGGCAACAAAATAATATGTATTCTTGTTACGCAATGCTCTCTATAACATAGAAATATGGAATAAAACTTATATTTTTTATGGATTAAACGTTTTACTGCTTGCTAAATTATACAGGAAAGTATAGCAATATAAAGGACCTAAAGAATGTGATTTTTTAGTTAAATGACCAGCAACATAACATCTAGCCAAAGAGGTTGAAAAACCAAAAATAACGACACGAAATAATTTTTTTCAAATAAGATGTGCGACAACTAAGTCCATTTTCAAATAGTTTGCATTTTCGTCAATAGGTCTCACTATCATGCGTTTCTATTCAAGATAGGCCAAATTTCTACTTTTATTTGATGTGTTAATTCAAAATGTTCTGTAAATACCCTGCTTCGTGTTATAATTGAACTGAATCATACCTAATCACATTAATTTCAAACGATGCTGAAATTGATATTCCACTAAAAGTTCAGACACTGGCGTGTCTTGGGGAGATATTCCTTGGGAATCCCGCGAGTTGACTGCAGTGCAAGTTGTACTGAGACTGTGAGAGTGTCTCGTCCGGACTTGAGCAGGATTTGCGGAAAGCAGGAAAGGTAAGAGAATATGGTGTTTGCTGTTAATATGAGATACTGCTTATAGCTTTCTGAAAAAAATAATCGCAATTGGTTTAAGTTAATTCAGGCAATAGAGTGTATCAGATTCCGATGTACTGCTTTGAAACTGGCCTTGAGGCACCAACTCGACTGTACCTGATCATGAGCACAGACGCTGAAACCGAGCAATTTTTGTTTCATGTATTTTGATATATGTAAAATAATGATAGGTTTTTAATAAGATCTTGGGTAACTGCATTCCCAATTTAATATTAAGAGTGTTGTAAGAGATGAGGCCGAATGCATAGAGTTTATAGCCCGTTGAGGTTTTTATTATATTCATTTGATCATAATGGTGCTTTTATTACTGGTCATATACATAAAGGCACAGGGGGAATTTATGTATTATTTCTATTGATTATATTATATTATATTATATTATATTATATTATATTATATTATATTATATTATATTATATTATATGATATTATATTATATTATATTATATTATTTATTTATTTATTTATTTATTTATTTATGTGTCAAATAAAGCTGTGTTTTTTTATAAGCGTGACTATAAAGATGTCATCACGTTCAACTTATTTCTATGAAATACGTGCAGGGCTATGTAACTTAAAAGCATCTTGAATTGCAACCAAGCGCAAGCATGGAGATTCGCCTCTATTCGCTATCGCAATTTGCGATGCTTTCAAGTTATGGAGCCCAGAACACTGAACAGTAAATGTTTTTGGACATCTGTTGAAAAGTGTCAATTTTACAGAAATGATCTGGAAACTGCATGTTTTTAAATACAGTGCCTTGAATAAATGAATGAATGAATGAATGAATGAATGAATGAATAATGTGGAATTGATATTGTGCATTTACAGAGTGGTATTACATATATAACTGTGTTATAATTGGATAACATATCATTTAAATACTGTATGGCTGTTGTGTAAAAGCTTCCCACACACTATATAATATTGAATTAAATTTGTAATTGAATTTTATTGTTTTTTTTCTGCACTTATCACTACTCATAAACTCTTAACCACTCGTTTTCCTGTAAGGTTCAGTTACTAGTTTGACAATTATTACCAAGTTGCAATCATTCCAAATTGGTAGTTCTCTTATAATAAAACTTCATAATTTGCTTGTAGAAAATTCTGGCAGGAGTTTCAGAGCGTTGCTGAAAGAAGACAACTCAGACAAGTAGCTGGTCCTATTATAAACAACTTGTTCTTTTATTAATGCAGGAAATATCTGCCAAGAATGTGAGGATTCTGGCCGTACAACCCCAATCTTGTGCAAGATCCATCATAGCGAGATAGTCTGTCAGTTAAGAGCATGTTGATGAATATGGGCCAGCCATAGTCTGTACACTGAGGCAGGCTTCATTACCATTGACTGCAGCCAACTTCCAACAGGACAGCACAGCGCAGGAGGACACACACATGGATTTACTTGACTAGCCTTTGAACCGACCATATCAGATGAGTGGTACAACTGCTTTGTACAAGGGAATCAGTCATTTTGAAGGGTGTCCCTGAAAAGTTGGTTATTACAGAGTTCAAAAGACCTGGTTAATTCATGTTGATTTGAAGCAATCTTCTAACTGGATTATAGCATTGCAATGCACTGGCTAAATTGGATAATTGGATATGTGATCTTTGTGATAGGTCTTCCCCATGGACAAGGTGAGTGCACATGAATTCCCATTATGTTGTTATTGGAGTTTTAGAGATCAGAGTTATAACACTAAAAGAGTAATCAACCCTTTTTTTGCAGAACACTTATTTGCAATGTAAAAAGATGTGGTACTACTTTTCTTGGAAAGCACGAATCTCCTGTCTGTTGATTCTTTTGAGAATATATTAAGTGAGGGATATACATGTAATAGGCTTGAATATAAAGCAACACTAATTTCCCAATAAGTACTAAATGTAGATTTTACATTTTATTTATTTATTTATTTATTTATTTATTTATTTATTTATTTATTTATTTATTTAAAGCTTGCTAACCATTTCCCTGGAAAAAGTGTTTGTTTACATAGTATACAGGACATGACAGATGTATATGGTAAAATACAGCACTAGAGAGGCAGTGTCCTGCAGTTGCCAGTTATATGCAACTAGGGCCCTGATGATCTGAACAAATTATTGTATTAAAATAGATTGTGAACCCAACACTATGGCATGCTGTTTGAGGCTATTGTACATGGCAGCTTTGTATTCTGTGTTGAGTAAGATAAAACTAGATGCCCCACAGTGAGCAGGTATGCTGTTTACATGTCTCTGTGTTACTGTCAGGTCAGCGGATTTAAGATTAATTTTCAGTGTAGCTTGAATTTGTCTTATTAATTCAATTTTTCATCAAAAAGATGTTTCCTTATTCGCCTTTATTACCAGCCGCCAGTTTTTATTATAGTAATTTTAAATAATCCAACTGATATGTGTGATTATTGCAAAATTATACAGTCATTTTTTTGTGAGGAATTATTTTACATAATGATCTTAAAAGGGATACACATGAGTGAATCCATATTATAACTGGGGCTAAACTGCAGTTAGATTTCTCCTAAGTGCACTGATACGTGTATGTATATTGGAAACCAGCCAGTACATGTATAAGAAGGAAGTGGACAAAAGGATGAATGGTACTTGGCAGTTTGGGACTACAATTACAATTTATAGTTTGGTCCACTGGATTGTAAACAAAGCATGTCTCTATCAATGTCCAGTATTTAACAGAGGGGATGGTTACACCTCTTTACTGGACAATGGAGCTGGTTAAATGGTCAGTTTTGTTAGGTTCCAATTATATCATTGACCCTTGAAAGTCTCTAGACAGAGATAAAAGTTTTGGTCTGAAAATTTGAATCTACTATCTTATACCCCTAGTAGATGGAGTGTTCGTGCATGCATCATATCTTTTGGTGTTTCAAATTGTTTTAGGAGATTGAAAAAATATTGAGGACACTTACTGCAGTTATTAAGTCTGTTATTTGAGGAGAATTAAAAAAGGTTTTTCGGTAAATTTTCTCGTCAACCTTTTTGTGTTTATTTTCATGTTCATTTTGGGCAAATAAAAACTTGATTGAATTTACTTCTACCAGGATATTCCTGTAGTTGTTTTAGTCTTGTTTTCAGGTTGTGCAAGTACAGTTAACTTTTTAAAGCATAGTATGTTTTTGAAGCAACTCTGCTGTGTTCCATTAAAGACCATTTTAAAGTTAAAAAAAATTCAAAGTGCATTGAGTTTTTTATTTCAACAAATTGAAGATCTATTTCCATTAGAAATGGGCTGATCCAGCTTAGTTCTGTATGTAGTATCTTTAAGGACTGAATTTTAACTACTAGTAACCATAGGAAGCCAGTGAGTCTAGTAAAATATCAGTAACCTTGAACAATCCCAGTGATGATAGGATTATATAAGGATTAGATTGGCTTCTTATGATAAAAAAAAAATCATTGTTAGTGTTAAGATAGTACATTTAATTTAGGCCAGTCCATTTCCACTGATAAAAACACCTTAAGTGTATAGACTATCATGATCCATATGACATTGCTTTAATGTCAAAATAATATTCTTGCAGACTAAACTTAATGTCTGAATACACCAAGCACTAAAGAAAGATATTGTCTGAAACATGATTAGCCCACTAAATAGCTGATCTGTGCTATTTGCACTCTATTCACGAGTGGAATTCTCAAACAGTCCAACCCCCACCAACCCCGCCTTAGTCCACTGTTGGAAATAAATAGTTGGATTGTTAGCTTTGTGCCTATCCATGGGGACATTGTAGTAGAAGTCAATAATGTCTCGGCTTAACCACTTATGTTTCCTTACTTTTTCAGGGTCCTGTGTGTTTGAGGGTATACAAATTGAGGTAAGTGTACACCTGTTTTCGTTCAGTTCAAGTGCTGTATAACTTGTCCCCCCTCTGAGCCATGAAGGAGGGGTCTGGATGTTGTGTTTGTACTGTAGCTTTAATACACCCCAAACTGAATGCTTGACATGCTTGTTGGCATTAAGGTTTTGCTTGATGCAGCTCATGTGAAAAATTATATTAATGTTAAATGCAACATGCTATTAAATGTACTGGAATAAAAATTTAGCTAAATATATCTAGCTAACTGAATTTTCTCGCTTTCCCATGAGAATAAAATGTTTTATTTAAAAAACATATATTGCTTTATGTATATACCGGTAGATACATGTATGTAAAATTGCATTTGCAGAACCATGTGCATATTATTTAGTACAGTACAACTATGCAGCTCAATCATGCATGTTCAACTATGGCAATTAACATTCAAACATGGTTCCTGAACATCATTAATTAACCCCAATTTACTGGGTAATTGATCAGGTACCCTTGGGCTTATAAGTGGTTCTCCCATTAGACTGTACATGAAAGAGTTGGTAACACTTGCACAAGTATAGATCATGATAATGTGCTCGTTGGATCAAGAAGGTGTGAATGAATAGTTTACACACTCCACTGTGGTGGCATGTTGTTTCTGCCATTATACCTCAGAGGGGTTTACATCAGCAAGTAAATTGGTTACCTTCATATTACATAGCACATTGTGGTTGTAACACCTTTTCTAGACGGTATTTGTGGATAACCATACTTAATGTCTTTTATCTTCTACAAGACCGAGGTTCTTTCAGCCTGGATAGTTTTATATGATCAACCTAGAAGGGACCCAGAATCTTTTTCTATTACAGGTACTGATTCAATGTGCATTAGGAAATGTGAGCATCCAAAATCTTTGATTTAAATGCTTGGCATTTAGACAGATCAGCCTTTTCCCAGCATTTGAACTTTTTCTTCCTGTCCATCAAACTTTACACTGTGCTAAAAAAAGAATCGGTAATAGCCAACTTCTTGAGGTGATGCTCAAGTCACACAAGTTTATGGAACTCTTAATAAGATTAGTGAAATGGCGATTTTCTTTTTTATTTATTGATTTATTTTATAAATTAATATTTTGTTTTGTATTCTTTTCGAATTTTTAATCAATTTCATTAAGTTGTTTTGTTTATATTTATTTTTTGTTATTTTCAAACAGTTTGTTTTAAAAATATGTTCTTTATCTTCTGTGACATATATATCAGGTGCCATAAAAACACTAATTTCAAAGTTCAATAACTTCAACATATGTCTTTAAACATTCTTTTTTATTTATTAGTAACTTTATTCAACTATGATGCAAAGAGTGTATTTATCCGACCATCGGGTTGCAAATTTGATAATAATAATAACACAAATAACAGTTATAAAGATATTGCAATGAAATTTGAGATATTTTTGTAGAGTCATAAAACTTTCAGCATTTATCAAAAACATTTTCCTAAAAAACCCAAAGTGCATTGGAATATTTTCAAAACTGTTGAAGTTAGTGAACTTTTAAATTAGGAACGTTCTTTAGCCACCTGATAAATATATCAGATAGACTAAAGATGAGTAATTGAAGTTGTAGAGTACAAAATGATTTTACTGTTAAAAGCTGACAAAAGATCCAAGGATTATTCAGACATTTTTAAGTTCAGTACTTCAGCTTTACCCTAGATAAGTTGCTGATTCCATGTACAGTAGTTATGCATATTCTACATATTGTTAGTATCTATTCCTATTGTTTGTTGCTAATAACAAGTTAAAACACATTTCGAGTTTTGAAAAAATGGTTGACTTGCATAAGAAGAAATTGTTACTTGGTACTGTTTTTGTGGCTAAAAATTCTTCTTGTGGTGTTTAGAGTTGGTAGGTTTTATAACCAGACTGCAGATGTTAGTTTGGCCAGCGCAACTCTTTTGGTATTTTGTTAGGACCCTCAAAATCCCTTAACCATATCATATTCTTTGCTCTGTACAGGAGATTAGCCAGCCTGAAAGATTTAGCATTAAGACCTGTTTTGATTTGCCACCTCAATTTCTGATATAAGTTTCTGTGAAAGAGTGTGTGGTTTGTTCTTGTGTGTTTTTGGAAGGCAGTGATACATTGGCCAGATAAAACCAATCATTTGGAAGGTTGAACACTTGAAGTGCTGCAGGGGATATGCAGGGATGTCTTTTCATCATATCAAGATTGCTACATTGTATTTTAACTCCAAGTTTATATGGTTTATATGCAGGAGAAATGCATATATTATCTTTTCTTTTCTTTTAAAAGAAAAGGAAAAAAAATTATAAGTGAGAAATACAAGTGAAATTTTATATTGTTTTCCTGGATTATTATGTGTGGTTTTGGTTTTGAAACAATAAATTACAATTTTTAAAAGCTTTGTTTAATATAACACATTTTAGATTTTATGCTATTAGTAATGGTAATAATGGTTGAATGGTTTGTTAAGATTTCAACTTTTTTCAAATTTTTGAGATGAGTAATGTCTCTTTTATGTAATATGTGATGTGCGTATTCATTTGCATCTTCGGTAACACCAAGAACTTGTGTGCATATTACACATATATACAAATATCCTTGGTTTTATACACACATCCCCTGTGCAAACTATATCGCTATATATATATTTAGCTATTTGTGATAAATATTGAAAGACAGCTCTAAGATGTCTGAGGTGTAGAGGGAATTTGGTATTTTGGTATGAAGGTTTTTTCCCATAACCTTTAAATGGCCAACCTGTGAAAGTACAGGGTTTGGTTTGAAAATTGAGACTCTCTACTGTATACATCTTGCAGTCTATTTTTCTTCAATCCTTTCTTGTCTTGATAATGAGCAGGCTTTTAGAAATGAGATCCAAGTAAGTGACATAAACAATGGATTTATTTATACATTGCTGATGCTGGGTTCTTTTAAGTTGAGTAATGTAAGCCAACTTTCTCAAAAGATTTAACTGGAAAGAGGAAAAAAAGAAAACCTTTTTGTTCTGTCTTCTGAGTTGAAATGCAATCTTTGAGGTCACAGAGAGTCCCGTCTTGATGAGTATGCTTGTAATGGACGGAAACCAAACTATATGGTTGAAGTGCGCAGTTAACACAATTTCTTCTGTTCTATTTTTTTTGTGTGTGAATTTTGAAATGGAGAAAGGGGAAGACGTAGGGAAGCAAAAGTGGGTCTATTGTATGACATGTCCTTTAATTATTTGTTAAGACAAGAAAGGCGTCTTGTTTTGTATCCGCACCCTAAAACACACTTTCCATACATGTCTACTCATTGCAGTTTCTTCAGTAATACACAAAATCTCACCATTAAAATAGTTCTTACATGTATATTAATTAAATTAATGAACAAGTAAATAGTCACATTTAGATTTAGCCTTTAGGTCTCATTCCCATTGAAACCATTGTTCTGTGTAGATTGCTCCAACCCTGCTGGAACTCTTGCTGAATGCAATCAGGTTAACAGATTAAGTTGCCTCTTCTTGGCGTTGAATAGAATACAGAAAAGCTGCTGATTATAAGACTACAATGGAAACAAGAGGAGGCATGTTAATCTGATTGCGTTCAGGAAGAGTCCGCAAGGAGTGGAATCGATCAGTAGTTTATACAGAATGAATCCTAATGTTGCTCTCAGCTGTCATTGTAAGTTAGAATCACATATATTGTTAATTCTTAAGCTCACATTGTTTCTCATGTTTTATTGTATACTACTGTACATGTATTTTCATCTTTGCATTCATATAAATGAGAAACAGAATTACATCTGGAATTCTATTATTTACAGAATGGTACTGTCTGGAAGTCAGATAGCTGTCACATCTGCACATGCCTCAGCCCTGTCACAGTGTGCGAACAAGTGACATGTCAGGACCCTAGATGTAACATACAGCAGGTAAGAAAAACACTGGTGGTTATACAGGATTAGAAACTATGTAGAATGAGAGAGTAGATAAAAAAAACTTGTAAATTGCACTGTTTTGGCATCGCCGCATGATTCTGATGGAACAACATGGTCAAAAAGCTAAGATCATATTGTTTTACTTTGACTCATTTTCTACTTGTCCACTCTTTCCTTTGACTGTTATATTTTTCATTAAAAATGGGAAACACACTACTATTTGCCCTTTAGCCACTATTATTTTTCTGTTTAGTACCAAATAGGTGAAAAACCATAGGCTAGTATATTCTTTTTAGTAGGTACAGATTTCAGACATAAGAGCAGTGTGGGTAGGATACAGGATACATATATCAACTGCTTAGGGACAAATTTTGTTAATGCATTTCCCATATAAAGAGTTTCCAGTGGCTCTTTACCTATATTATGGCAACAGTGCCCACATGGTTACTGTGGTCTATCCAGAAGATAGATTTCAATTTTAGATAGGTTGAACTGCTGTGCTGACATCCCCCAGAAGTAAAAGGGATAAATGCCTTGTCATGTCTGATAAATACAGTTATTTTACTCTCCAATTTTCAAAAGTTTTTACACTTTTTCTCTCTAGCTCTTCCTTTTTTTTTTTTTTTTGACAGCTCACCAAGAACAAAATCACTATAATGTAATTGCCTTGTCTGTTATCTCTGGGAACTACTATCTGCCATGCCCCTCATCAAAGTTCTCTTTCTCTTCTTTTACAGTAGCTGTTTGTTTAAAGTAGATAGTTGTTTCAAGGACAGCACCTTTGATATGTGTTTTTTTAAAGCTGGTGATTGATAGCTTATGTAGACCCAGAAAACACCCATCAATAAAAACCCAAACCTTTGTAGTTTATGGCCAGACTAAAATGTCAAAAGGCAGTTGGGCCTCTGAAATTCTCTTTTTGACAGAGAGGTCAACAAGAATTAATGGTTCTTTTAGAAGAAAAAGTTTGCCCTTGATTTATCTGCTATTGTGACTGACCACATATACATGTTCTATAAACTATTATTTTCAGGAAAAAAGTTTTGGAGGGGAAATGTTTTGATCCTTTTCAAAGTCTGTAAATGACTGAGGAAATTACATTTACCCTATAGATAAATATGTTACTTATATTACATAATTTTTCAAAAAAGAAAAAAAGAGAAAAACATTTTTCAAAAAAGAAAAAAAGAGAAAAACATTTTTCAAAAAGAAAAAAAAAGAGAAAAACTTTAAGAGAAATAGTGGATTTTTCTTAATTCACCAATTTGTTTCACATATGCCTGAAAATAAATCATGACCTTAAGGACCTTTTCAGTGCTAATTACTACCAGGTGATGTAGTCAGGTCTGCATGTGTTTGTTTTGTTTGTATATACAGGGAGAAGTATACAGAATTCCATCAGGTAACTGTTGTCCGGAATGCTTCACACCTGGACCACCATGTGTGTATAAAGGACAGACACGGGAGGTAAGTATATCATATCTCTTCTTTCACACCTTTATGTTTGTGCTCATGCTATCTTTTCATAAAAAAGCGATAAGATATTTAAGCTGATGGAAAACAAAAATATCAAATTTTCTTCAGCCTATTTTAGTATGTTATGTAAAGAAATAACTGGATCGTTTCAATGGTCAAAGTTATCAAACTTTCAGATACATAATTTTATAATCACAAAAATTATTTTTTGTATAGATTTTGTTGTGTTTTTACTGCAAAAAATAGAACTATAGAGTAGCCTGCTTTTTAATTTTGTTGCTACCACTCAATAGGAATTTTCTAATCTTAAGAAATTATGACTTAAAAAACTACAGAATCTTTAAAATTCATATTTTCCCCATTGAAAAGACCAAGTAAATACCGTATACCAAATAACTTCAATAATGTTGGTCTGACACGTGTTGATGTAATGATGGATAAAAGCACATTTTTGTTCTCACTCCTATTTGTTCTGAATGTTATTTAGAATCACAGACTTTAATTTCAGTTTTAAAGGGCCATTTCTTTCTCTGTAATTCTAAATGCCCATCTGCAAAAGTAATAATTGTTTGACCTCACTACTTCTGCCTTGGTAAAAGTTATCTGACCTCCGTGCCTTGACCAGAGCAAGGAAGGATTGAACCTTCTACCACAGGTCCAGATTTTTTTTGCAAACATACTGGAGTTAAAGGTTCTTAACAGAATTTAGCAGAGAATATAACTAGACTCCACTTATCCATATCTTTATTTCAGTCGAGGAAAAAGTTTACAATTCAAATGTTATTGTTTGTAATAATCCTAAGAATTCTTTAGAGAAAGGACTAAATTTCTGATAATTTGTTTGGAAGGATGCTAACTCTGCATGGGGAAATAACTATGCTAACTGCACCAAGAAAAGGCAAACACAAGATTGTGATATATTGTAATGACTCACTTTGAGAGGGTCACTTAACTTTTTTTTTAGACAATATAATTGTTGAAAAGATGCAATAAATAGTTTTAAAAATTTCTTAATACAAAAGTTGCATTTGAATGAAGCACCAGTGTTATCATTCTTATAACCATTAATTTTTTTTATTTTTATTTATGTTATTTTTGGGGGGTTATGCTGCCATTACCCTTATTACTGAATTTCCAGCTTGTTATTAGCTCAAGGAAATCACTCAGCAGGTAAAAACAATCTACCTGCAATACTACATCACCAATAAATCACATATTTAGCCTGCCCCAGCTGACAGACAGGTAGAATACATATCCCCCACCTGGGCACTCAGGATTAACAACATATTTAAAGAGGATTAGAAACCTATATAAAGAGCTTCGAATTAACAGTTTGATGAAAGGTAATCGACAGGGGTTTAAGTTTCCCTCCAAGGTGTAGAAACTGTTGAACTTGATATTTAGTTTGAATAGCTGAGCATACCTTGCCTTGGGTATTGAAAATGCAACTTATATTTATTAAAGAATTCGATAATTCATTTTACCCTAGAGATAAATCTTTCCCTTCAATTCCTGATGTGTTAGTGTAACATGGGTGCTTTCATAAGTGTGGATTTGAAAATGTCACAATGGGGCAGTGTTCTCCCTCTTGACCCAAAAGAATACCAAGGCCTGTTAAACTCTACTTTAGCAGAGAACAAACCTGAAGGAGGCACATTAATAAACTCTCCAGGCAATGAGGGCAGAGTTCTCTAGTAACACTGAAAGGAGATGAAAGTATGCCTTGCTGGTTAGGACTGTGTCTATTCATCCCCCTACTGATTTCTCCAGAGTAACAAAAAGTTGAGGTTGGATGATGATCATGATCATGACCACCAGACTTTTTAGACTAAACAGACCTCACATCAGACCCTGTTATGTGTAACATCTTTGCACTTATATTGCCCTGGTACGTGTGATTTTTAGCAGATGATAGTGAAAACATATCTGTCCAAACATGGCTGCCTGAAGGCCCATGGTGATTGCTGTTTTTGTTTGATTTAAAAGAAAATTGGCTTGAATAATTCTACTCCCCTAAGGATAATGATGATGGATCTTGAGACACTTTCCACAATGAAGAAAATATTTCAACTGTGTATGCTGTAAACAGAATCAATGAAATGGCAAATATTGGCAAATATTTACTCATTCTCGTGTTGACATTGTTCTGAAACGGCATCTGAATTTAGTCCAGACTTAGCTCTTGTTTTACAGCATTGTTTGATAAGTTTACATGCCATAAAAGCAGACTTCCATCAGCTGAAAGCATGTTTAAAAAGTAACCACATGTAGGCTTAGTAAAACTGTTTCACTCTTATCATTTTACACCCTTTTGTTTTACTTAGTGTCTCAAAACAGTTGTATAAATGTTGTCAGAGCACATTGCCAAGGAGATGGCATGATATAAACCATATATGTACACACATATCAGCGCAGTAGTGTATAAGATTTTGCAATGTTTTTTCAGATGAAAAAATGTATTTTTTTTTCTCTAGATTGACTCTAAGTGGCATGTCAGCCTGTGTGAGAGCTGCCACTGCACAGAGAAAGGCGTGATATGTACCAATGAGACTTGCCCAGCTTTACACTGCAAACATGGAGAAGAGAAGCAAAGTTTGCCTCATGTCTGCTGCCCAAAGTGTGTCCCAACAGGAAGTAAGTGGACAACATCTTTGTTTTCTCTGAAATAATTACCATCTGGTAACCTACACCATAGTGCCCTCTGCACCAAAAAAAATGTCTGTCTGTGCGATTTTTTTTCTTTTATTCAATTTACCAAGCTTTTATTTATAGCAGTTTTAATTTCATAATATGTGTCTGCAGTGTGATTAGACAGTGATAAGATCAATGTTTATTTATCTTTGTCAGTCTGTGAAGGTTGAAGTTGATTTTTTTGGATACAGACAAGCAGGATGGAAAACAGAGTCAAAACACATGACCCTGTCTGTCAAGCAGAACACTTCATTACAGTATTGACACCAGGGGGACTCATTATTTTGCTCTCTCATGGATTTTGCCTTTTTCTTCACTGTTTTGCCTGTCAGATGAAAATAAAATGACTGCTAGTATGTGGGGCAGTATTGCTGCAATGTATCCATTGGTTGGATCAAATATTGTGGAAATTTCTTGTTTTTCTAACCTTCAGGTGACAAATATTGGAAGCATTTACAAAAAGAATCTTATCTGTTTCAGTGTTACAGACTTACATTACTGATCTGTTAGTTGAATTGTGTCAAATGACAACCATACACGGCAAATCTCTTTTACAACATGAAAAAGGGGATTATCTCTTTGGCTTATTTTATTGTGGAATGTGCACAGCTTAGAGGCATCACTGCATCATGCACTAAATGGCTGAGGTATTAGAGTGTCACTGAATACAGTGCTCAAATAGAGGTGGAAAATTCAACAGGACTTATGCTTTGTTGTGTGACAAAGTATAGAGTTTCACCCTCTAGGTCCTAGTAGTGCTTTGACTTGAAAAAAGTACACTGTATGATGAGGTTGTATCAGAAACAGTTGTTGACACTCATTAACTAAGAAAGAACACAAGCATGTGCACCAACTGATTGCTAATATGTATGGGGTCCTACACCGTCCTTTGACCTTAGTTATGTGTCACTTCACAAAGAGAATGAAGTTGAAGAGGGCTCCCTGACTTATTATGATCTAGCAGGATCAACAAATCTTATTGACCTTTAAGTTGAGGAAAAAAGAGACCAAATCAAATGTAGTCGTGGAGTTGTTTATTTTTAGGTTTTACTTTTTCCTTTTTTGAATTTTTTTATGCTTGTAGGGTATTTCAGTTCTTTTGTTCTGCATGATTAGAAAAAACTTAGAATAAACAAACTTTGAAATCTACAGCGAAGTATTTATGTGCAAACTGTTCAAGGCTCAGTTAGGAGAATGTAAACAATTTCCTCAGCAGTTTATACATTTTTTTGCTACAAATGTTCTGCTCTTTGGTCTTTTATCTGTGTTTGGAGGGTGTTATATGAGGCTATGCAGATAATTGTATTGTCAAGTATTCATCTGGGTGTTAGCAGTGTTAAATAAAAAAATCAAATATGAATAATACAGGTAACAAATGCTGAGCAGTTAATGTATTGAATATATAACTTAACAGGTTACATTTTATTTTCACTATTTGTTGTAACCCCATCAGACAATTTTAGAATAGTATTTCAGATTTAAAGTAAAAAACAACATTTTCACCCATAACCTTTTAAACAAAATGATGTGTATCATATGAAAATTGTTAGACTTTTTGAATATTTTCAATTTTAGGCTCTTGTGTGTATCAAGGTGTTCACTACCTGGACGGTGCTGTCTGGGAGCCAACACCCTGCATCAGGTGCAGTTGTCAAGATGGAGAAGTTACATGTTTCACTGCCCATTGTCCAGATCTCAGGTGTGACCAGGTGAGTCCACTGTCTATTCCCAGTGTCCAGATCTCAGGTGTGATCAGGTGAGTCTACTGTCTGTTCCCAATGTCCAAATCTCAGGTGTGACCAGGTGAGTCCACTGCCTGTTCCTAATGTCCAGATCTCAGGTGTGACCAGGTGAGTTCACTGTCTGTTCCTAATGTCCAGATCTCAGGTATAACCAGGCGAGTGTAGTGTCCATTGGTAATGTCCAGATCTCAGGTATAACCAGGTGAGTGCAGTATCCGTTGGTAATGTCCAGATCTCGGGTGTAACCAGGTAAGTCCACTGCCTGTTCCCAATGTCCAGATCTCAGGTGTGACCAGGTGAAACTAGCATGATTAGTGTCAAATATCTTTATATCACCTGTTACCTGTTACATGTAATTTGGCCAATTCATTCAGCTATAACACAATGGAAAAAAATTACAATAGGTAAAACTTTGACCTGTGCCAGACAAGTTGGTATTTCTAAGGAGCTCAAATATGAATGGTGCAAAATTCAAAATTTGATTGAATTTGATGACTTGAGGATCTTATGGGTCAACCTTTGCCACCAGTTAGTATGGCTGGCACAGTTGTACTTGACAGGGAAAGTTTTCTACATCTGCTGCCTGTTCCAAAAAAACATTCCATAAGAATATCTAAAAGAACTCATGTGGAACCTTATTGCTTTTGTCATTAATTATCTTCCCTGCTAACTTGTTTACCTGGCAAAGTCTTTTAAGTGAATACTTGGACCAAACTATTTTGACATTGATTAATTCAAACCAACTGCTTGATTTAAATATCAGAGACCAGTTCACCAAAATACCATTTAGAGCACAAGGCTGGCTTGAACTTATTTTTTTTTCTATTTCATTCATTCTTTTCTTTTTATTGGATATGCAACATTTCATCTCTGGTGAATTTGAAAGGTGTTCATAATTGATCAACATGACACCTTGAATGCCACCATATCTTTTTTTTTCATTGGCAGAAAATGTCTGCAGAAGTAAACATATCATTACTACACAGTGGAGAACATAAAACACTTATTAAGTAAAAGGATATCTCAGTGGGTGTATTATCAGTAAGGCCATGTGTTTACTGACGTCAGGGTTGTGCAGAGATGCACTGCAGCCAGAGAAACTCCATCTAGTTGGAGAAAAAATGCCATGCCATACAGCTTCATAGTTTCTTGTTGAGAGGAGCAGTGGTTAGAGTTTATTTATGTAAATCTGGAAGTTTTTTTTGTACAGAAAACCAATGGTGTAATGGAATTGTTGTTAAGATGTACATTTCCTGTAGTTTTAGATTTTATGTGTATAAGTATGTATAAGTAGCATGATTTTAATAAATATATTATAATAATTATTATTATTAATGACAAGTATTTTGCATTTTCATGTGAAAATGATGTCATTTCAGGGTTCCAGTGTTGTCCAACTTCCGTCCACTTGTTGTCCACAGTGTGTAGAAGACATGTGTTATGTGGGAGGAAAGCAATACAAGGTAAACACTAGGCCATTAGTAGGAATTTTATGGATTATTTAAGTACGGTAAGTCTTTCATAAGTAATAAATTTTCCTAACATTTTGACAATCAATGTTTGAGATTATCATCTTTGTTGAGTCTCCATCCCAATGTTTACTGGTCCTATTGTTTACAAAGGGTATTACCTTTAATATTCTAGTATATAAGTTATTAATATATGAGTCGGCTTAAAAATTATGTTTTAACATCATCAGTTAGCATTGGAGAAGAACTTCATCAGCTGTGTTTTCTTATAAGAATAAATATTGGAGGTAAACAATCTCAATGTTTAGCTGCTGATTGAAGAAAAACTTACATCATTCCTATCAGTAAGCATTATTTTGAAAGTAGAGATCTTTTTATTTATTTGATGCACTCTCTACCAGTCTGGTGATGAGTGGCAGGAAGATAGCTGTACCTACTGCAGGTGTTCCTCAGGCCATAGTCAGTGCAGGAAGGTACAGTGTGAGGATACTATACAGTGTGAACCAGTAAGTTTTTTATTTATTTCATTTTTGTCTTTTGTCCAATATAGACATGGTAATTATTCATAGAATTTGAACACATTAAAGCTTTAATTATTTGATTTTTTTATTTTTTTATGATAAAATTTATCACTTAAGAAGTGTTCTAAAAGTGTTTCTCAGTCTAAGTCCAGAGTGTGATTTCAGGGTGAGAAGAAGCTGCTGAAGCCTGGAGACTGTTGTCCATCTTGTGTGGCAGAGGAAGGTTGGTGGAAGGCTTTTTTCACTAGTATTAATTTAAACAATATAGTTGAATGTTTCTAGAATCTAAGATACTTTATTCAGTATTTAATGGTTTACCAGTTTGGGATATCAATTCCTTACCCATCTTACCATTTTTTATTCTGATTATCGTTAAATAGTGTAAAATGATGTTAGCATTTAAAATGATCTCTACAATTTCCTCAGCTCCTTGTGTGTACAGTGGAGGGTTATACTATCATGGTGACATGTGGAATACATCACAGTGTGAGTTCTGTACATGTGACAGAGGGAGAGTGAACTGTCACCAGGCAAGGTGTGAAAGGAGGCATTGTGAACAGGTAGGCTTAGGCTGACATAGATATTGCTTGCTCTGATGTTTCTTGATTGTGTAAGGTAATGTTTAGCCATGCTATTACTTTCCAGTGAAAAAACAGTCATTACAAGAAATTTGAATGTTTTTTTTTTTTTTTTTTTTTTTTTTTGGGGGGGGGGGGGGGGGGGGGGTGCCCTTTAACCCGGGGATTTATATGGGATATAATTCCCCCCC